TCTTTTATATGAGATGTTTTGCTGAAGCAATATTTAAAAAACGAACACATGATGATTTCTTTTAAGTCTTTATATGAGTTTTAAAACTTGAATACTTATAATTGCAAGTTTTTTATTAAGAAACTATAATCTTTTCTAATATAGCAAATAGCAATGTTACAATTCCAATCCAGCCCCTACCAAGCAAGGGTCCTTTCGCTAGTTATCCCTTAATTTCAATTCACCATTCCAATTGTGAGTGTTGAGCTCAAGGTTTTTAAAACCGACCTAGAGAACAAATTGGTCAAGGGTCTGGTTCTCGGGTCGAACAATCAACCCGTTCTGACAAAAAATAAAATAAAAAACCGTTTGAACAACTCGAATAGTTAATCGCCCGAGTGAACAGTTTGCTGACCAAAATCAACATTTTTTTGGAAAAATCCAGTTTTGAGGAAAAATGAACCGGTTCCCCTTTTTCCGATCCGACCGTCCAGTTCCATCCGATTTTGAAAACCAATAACCATGGTTGAACTAATGGGTTGGGCACTTAGGATGAAGTGCGTTTGGAATCGAAGGAATTTTTTTCTTCGAATCCACTGAAATTTTGACACGTCTTTAGGTGCTATTACTGGTCACCGGATTGAATGCGTTTGGACTTGAAGGGATTTTCTCTTCGAGTCCATTAAAATTTACACGCCAATTTGTTCTCATCTGCCCATCACCTGCAACGGACTAAAACTTTATGATCGTTAACAGTATTTTTAAATAAAAAATTAATTTTATAAATTTTTTGTAAACAGAACCGATAGCTCCATGGCAACCGGCTCAACTGTACTCTTCTCCCCCTCACCAATTGCTCCAATCTCATGCTCCTCTACCTCGCCAGAAACGACTTCTCCGGTGATGTCCCAGCCGATATTGGCTCCCTCAAGCGTCTCCTCCGGCTAGACCTTTCTGACAACAATTTTCGGGGTCCCATCCCCAGGCAGATCCTCAACTTAACTCGTCTCCTCACGATTTGAATACAGAATAATGTGCTTGCTAGCAGCTTCCAGATCTCTCCGCCGTGCTGTCGGAGCTCAGAGAGCTAAACTTAACTAACAATGAGTTCTACGGGAGGGTGCCATTCGGTCTGCTGAAGAAATTTGGATCGCGAAGCATCACAAGAAATGAAGGGTTGTGCGAGCCGAGCCCGTTACCGGTTTGTTCGTTCCTGGATGTCCCTCCGGCAGTTGCGTCAGCGCAGACCGTAGTGTCGTCGAACCCCAGCTCATTGCCTACTAGTACTGTTGCAGGTCTGGCAGGGAAGGAAGAGGAGTCCTGGAAGGGACTTAGTATCGGCTCCACCGTCGCCATTGTGGTTGCGAATTCTGTGGTGGTTTTACTAGTGGTCACGTCGTTTGTTGTTGCTTACTACTGTGGAGGAAATTCAAGAGACAATGGTTCCGACTCCAGTTCAAAAGGCAGGAGAAGAAGCAGCGGTAATTCAGGTGACAACAAGATGTAGCTAAATAATGTGCGTGGTCGTGAAGGAGGAGACAGCGATAGTACCACTGTGACAAACTGGAGCAAGCTTGTGTTCTTCGGTAGGAGGAAGCAGTTTGAGCTGGAGGACCTGCTCTGGGCATCGACGGAGATGCTGGGAAAAGGAAGTTTAGGAACAGTCTACAAGGCTATGCTGGAAGATGGGTGCACGGTTGCGGTGAAAAGGCTCAAGAACGCCAACCCATGTGCGAGGAAGGAATTCGAACAGTATATGGGTTTGATTAGGAAGCTCAGACATCCTAACCTGGTTCATCTCAGAGCTTATTACTAATTTACTACGCCAAGGAGGAGAAGCTCCTCGTCTACAATTACCTCTCCAATGGAAGCTTGCATTCTCTTCTCCATGGTAATTTCTCACTGTTACCGTCTTTATTCAATAAAGCTGAGCATGGATTAACTTTTGGGTTGATTTGAATCAAAGAATCGAGGACCAGGGAGGATACATCTGGACTGGATGACGAGGATTAGCTTGGTGTTAGGAGCTTTTCGTGGGCTTGCTCGGATTCAAGAGGAGTACAGTAGGTTGAAGATACCGCACGGGAATGTGAAGTCATCGAACGGGTTGAAGATACCGTTGAGCCGGTTGTCATGGAGCTATCGGTTCTGTTCAAAAAAATTTATAAAATTAATTTTTATTTAAAAATATTGTTAGCAATCATAAAGTTTCGATCGGTTGCAGGTGATGAGCAGATGAGAGCATATGACGTGTCAAAAATTTTAATGGACTCGAAGAGAAAATCCCTTCTAAGGCCAAACGCACTGAATTCGGAATGGCGACCGACTGAAGTTTTACTGCTAGTTATGATTGACAAGAATATTTTTAAATAAAAATTGATAAATATAAAATTTCCGTAAAGAAATCTAACTAAATATTGACAGAAAGCTCGAAACCCTCGTATTCTCATGCTCGAACCATTAATGGGAAGACAAAACCTTCCTCGCTATTGTGGCTTTGGATCTACAAGATAAATCCTCACATTCTCAATCCAAATGCAACTCAAGCCTTGCTCCTCCGACCATTAATGGGAAGACAGACCTGGTTCTCAGTTCTGGCTTTGGATTTGCAAGACACGAGACGTCTCTTCTTCCTCCATACTAAGCTTTTGAAAGTAAAAATAATAGTTCCAATTCTCCAAAGATATTTTTTCAAGAAAAGTATATTCAAGCAGTCATGCTGTCACGCACAGGGTTTTCTTGCATGATAGGCTCTCAAAATTTTCTATTTTCAAAGGATTATAGGGTTTCAAATTTTAATACAAAGAACTGAAGAAGTGGTATTGGGAATTTTCGGACAGAAATCAATGAATTCATTAATTTGGTCGGTGTTGACAACTTGCTAAGATGAGTTAGAATAAGGACCTTCAGTATTGCAAAGGATTCTTGGAAACAAATCAGTGGGTTCATTAGCTTTTTCGTTCTCAGTTTCCGCTTTCTGTATTTTGGGTTTTCATTCACCTTTGAACACTTTGATGTTTGAAACTTTTCGTTAATACCATTGCTGTCGTTGCTAAAATCTATGGTTGTCGTTTTGTTGCAGTTTGAACACCATTAATAAAGCTTGTTGTTGTTACTGGTTGGGGGGATAAGGTTTGAGTCACAAGGCTCTCTAGAGACTGCTATGCAAGTCTTTTTGGCAAGTTGCAGAATGTAGATTTTTTTTATATATCTTTTATCAATTTTTATTTAAGCTCCAACCGATTGTAAGTGATGATGGCCAGTTAAGTATGAAATGATGTGTCCAAATTTTAGTCGACTCGAAGAGAAAATCACTTCAAGTCCAAACGCACTGAGTCCCGACTGTGGGTTGGGCATGTTTTTGATAATCGAATCAAATTGGATTTGAACCATATATCCGATTGTTTAAACAAATCGAACTCGGAGACGCCGTATTTTCTATCCGATTTTGGATAAATGGATTGGATCGAGCCTATATCCAAATTTGATTTTATTACATTTGAATTCAAATTGGATCATAGCGGATTCTTTGAATTCCGATTATAATTGGATATTAAATAGTATAAATAAATTAGATTAAAATATTATATATTATTAATAAGATAAGTTAAAAATGGCTTTATCATCATATCTTATGAATAAAATGAATTAAAAATTATTTTTATAAAACTTGAACATATGACAATTTAATGAAAATAAAATGTTAAAATAAATTTCAATCACATATATAATATAATTTTTAAGTATATATGAGCATATGCAAATTTCTTAAATTATCCTTATGATTTAGTTAATTGACTAAGTGTATCATTATTGTTTGAAAATTGACTAATGCTACCTTTATTGTTTCAAAAAATTACCATTACCGTTAAAATATTAACAGAAGGGCTGAAATGCCCATTTAGCCCTTACATCAAATTGGAAGCTCATCTCATTCTCCTTCATCTTCCTTGGTCTGTCTTCACCACCCAGGTCCATATCTGGGTTCTGAGATGAGGTAGGCAGCTATGAAGACATAGATGTAGATTTGAGTAGCGGTGGTGTTCGAGAAAGGAGAACCACCACCTCTAGAAGTTGCAGTTGAGTTAGTTTCAAACAGTGTTGTGTGAGTTGCTTTTAGTGGTTCAGTCGCAAGCTTTGGGCTACTCTCAACAACTCAGTGGGTTGGGTTGTGAGCTCCGGCCTCTCACACTCTCTCTCTCTCGCCTCGTTCCCGGAGAGTGTCAATGGCAACGACAATTTCCTCCGATGGGGTTAGGGATGGGGATTGTTTTGGTAGGGTGGGGACGAGGACAAGGATTAATAGGAATCCTCGGTTGGGGTTAAGATGGGGATTGAGGTCCTTGCCAATTATATAATATATATTAAAACATATTTTAAACATTATTTATAATTTAAATTTTGTATTTATTTTAAGTAAATATATTTTTTTAGAAAAAAAATAATATTATCTGAAAACATTTTGGGGATTTGGGTCCCCACTGAAAACCCATCCCCATCGGGGATTGGGGATGGAGGACAAATTTTATCCTAGGTAGGGATCAGGGATGGGGATGGGGTTAATTTTAGAATCAGGGTCAGAAACGAGAAATATGATCCCCACCCCAAATTCACCCCAAACCCGCCCCATTGCCATTCCTAAGCGGCGGCAAGAAATCTCTCTCGTCCTTGTTTCTCTCCTCATCCATCAAACCAAACCTGACACTCAATCAGACAATCTGAAAGGTGAAACTAATGACTTGGACGTATTCCCCTTTGTTGTAGCGTTCGCTTTTCAGGACAAAACTAAGATCAGGTAAGTTTGATTATTATCGCATCTTCTTATTTTCCATGTTCTTTGTTTTGTTTTTCTCAATCATTTTACTATGAACTGGAATTACCCTTCGAACGAGAGGATAAGGGTAAAATTGGGTTTTAAAAAAATTATATGTATGTATAAAACTGGTCAATTATTAGAAACAGTAAAAATAACATCCATAAGGTTTGTTTAAGAAATTTACCCGCATTGGATCGAATAGGGGCAGATCCATATTTGATCCAATTATAAACTGATCGAAATCGAATTCGGAGCAGGATCGAATTCGAAATCGGATAATCGGATACCGTTTGCAGCTCTATTCCCAGCTCTCCTGTCCGTCCACCCAAAAGGAAAAAAAAAGAATGTCGAGTTGCAGGTTTTTGGTTGTCAATGGCGTAGTCTCCCGCACTTCTGACGTTCCTCCTGTCTCGCATTTCCTCGAAAACCATCCAGGTGGGTCAAAGTATTGGCTAAGAAAAAAAAAAAAAAGAAAAATTTGGTGATTGAGTTCTAATTAGCCTCTAGGAAATGGTTTTGAATTTTAATCTCTTTCAATGAAATTGAAATTAAAAACCAGGTGCTTATACGACCACTCGCACGCACACAAATGCTTCATATCTCTTATTCTGGGAGAGGCACTTGCGCAGACTTGCAGAATCAGCAAGGATTCTCTATGAATCTAGACCGGAACTCTTATTTGCTTCACTAGTGACTAGGGTTCCTTCATCGTTATCCTTGTCATTGTGGGAGCCCACAATTCGATCTCTTGTTAACAATTCATTGACAGAAGTGTTACCAATTGCATTAGAAGAAAGAAATTATGGAGAGGAATTGGCAGTTACTGCATTGGTAGGTGGCAATTATACCAAATTAAATGAAGAAGATGGCAGAGACGAAGAAGAAAGGATTTTTAGTCTTCTTGATGTATACGTGCATGTTAGCATTTATGTTCCACCTGCTTTTGGTGTTAGAACAAATGCAGCGCAATTAGCTGTTGTGGGTCGCGGAAGGGATGTTGCGAAAGCCAAGTTTTCGGATTGGGTCAGGTGAGTGTTTTTGTCTTGATTGTTTGAGAGTTTTATCTCTATTTTGATATTTCAGGTTGTGATTTGAGGATTTTTGTTTCCTACTCAGGCTTAGGAAATGCTTGGATAAGTTAAGGTCCCCTTGGGCTACTGAGGTGTTGTTATCAAATGATGGTGATCGGATACTTGAAGGCTGTGTCACGAATTTCTTCGTTGTTTGCCGCAGTGTGAGTTAAGCTCTCAGTGGTTTTCATCATAACTGATTAAACCAGAATTCCAGAAGGGAAATAAATTTGCATGCTATTTGTCCATTTCGTTTTCCTTTCTATGGAAATAAATAGAAGTGTCGAGCAACCAACAGCTATCAACAACTGTGTGTATATATGAACCTTTTCAAAATTTAATATGGTGAATTAATACTTCCTGCAAGTTCTACACGCCTTTTCTAGCAATTTGTTAGGTAACATGCTTTTGGTGCTGATAGGATCGCACAATTAGATGTTTTATGAAGTATGAATTGTACGTGTCATGTTTGGGTCCTATGAAGTATGGATTCTAAAAGCCATGTTTAGGAATTTGTGTTCAAAAGAAGATTCATAACTGTATAACTGGATGACATGTGTGTCCAGGAAAGCAAAGATGGTACAAGGAAAGATCTATTGGATCACAAAAGTTTTTGTTCTTTTGAAGTACAGACTGCCCCTGTCAATGATGGTCTCCTTCCAGGCATCATACGACAGCTTGTACTTGAGTAAGTTACTTGTTCTCATTGCAGAATTACAGATCTGCTTATTGTTGCTTTCTATTATATCCTTCACATTTGGCACTACAAATCAATGGCCAGGAAAATCCTGGGGTTTTCCTTGATTTGAAACCTGTAGATGATTGTATAATTCCTCTTTTTTTTTCATGCAATGGAAAATCTGATAACTTTCCTTTTTCTTTTGATCACCAACTGAATTTTTTATTGAAATATGTATACAATGTAATAATTTTTGTTTCTTTAGGATCCTGAAAAGATTACCTATGATCTGCTGTACATTTTTCTTATAAACAAGATATGAGTTGCATTGCCATTGACCATACTACACCCCTATATGAGTGCACTTCCATTTGCATATCACAACCCCTACCCTGTCCTATGCAATCTCCTACCATGACGTTATTTTGGGTAAATAAAAATAAATGAATCATTCAGAAGTAGTTTCTGTAGCAGTGGCTGCAATTACCTACTCCATTTTGGTTATTGAAGAGCTTCTTGGAGGATTTACAGTGGTAGGCTACTAGCTAGTAGCAATTTCATGAAAGCAAAGGGACAATAAACATCCTGTTGTAAAATATGGCAATTGTTTTTCTATAAGGTTGCATTTGGTAAGAATTGCAAATTCAAGTATGTGCGGTTCATGAAAATACAAACTTTGGTTTTGCATTGCTATATTTTGTATTCTTACCAAGCGTATTCAGTTATGGTGGGTACAAACACAAATTTCAAGACTGAAACCTACCATTTTTCACATTGACCAACTTTGAGTGCAAAGCTTGCTTCCTTACGTTTTGAATGTAAACATGTTAGAAAAACAAATTTACTGTCATTTTCAATACAAAACTTCATACCCATGTGGTAGATGGGTTGGCAGGAAAGTAATCAGTAATGTCCCAGCATCTTGACATGACAAGTTCAGAATTGAGGCCCCTTCATAATGTCTAAATGTTAGAACTCTTTGGAGGCTAGAGATGAGGTGGTTGAGATCCTTGATGATACTGGGGAATTGACCAAGAGAAGGTTGTCCAAGGGGAGTACTTTACAAGTTTGTTCACCTAGGAATAGGAAGGGGCAGGGATATGGGTGTTTTTGGAAACTGACAGACTCTTAGGCTGCCAATAGGAACTGGTTGGATAGAAGAGAAAAGGGATGTTGACAGACTCTTAAGCTGCTTTATGCATTGACCCCACATTGGCAGGAGCCTCGTGCACTGGGCTGCCCTTTATTCCCCTAGCCCTGCTGTTAAGGTGGTCAACAGACTCAACACTAAAAACCTTCTCACCAATCATAGATAAAAAGTAAGAACCTTATCAAGAAACATTAGGCACATAAAATGCTAACACTTTGAGGCAAACATCTTTTCCCCCATATCAACCTGAGTCAGCTGTCTTTGTCAAGCTCCCTATCAAAGCGATACAGCCAGAAGCACACCATCTAATTGTATTTCTCAACCTTGCATATGGTTAAACCCTTAAGCTCTGTTTAGACTTTAGACTAATATGAGAACAGCAGTTTACCATGCTAATTCCCTATCATAATCTCTTAATAACCCCAACGTAAGCCCTAATTTCTTGTATCCTCTTTTTTCTCTCTTTCTTTTTTTTTTCTGCTTTTTTTATGGTATTTTTTGAGAAGGTAACTGATATGTATTGTATATAGGCAGAAAAGGGTTATACACGAGAGAATATACCAAGAAGAACAAAGCTGAACAAAATATAAACAAGTATATGGAAAGTATTTTGTTGCTACTCTCTCATGAATCTAGTTTCCTTTTCTAGATTTATGACAAACATCAGATTTAACAGAATATTTTCAATTTTGTTCTACTTCTTTTCTTTGAAATCTCGTTTGAGTTCTCACAAGGCTCTGTATCACATACTTTCATCAGGAGATTATTGGCTTTATGCACTCTCTTTTTGACATCATTTTCTGAACAGTTTTTTTTGTTTGTTTTACTTTCCTGAATTTCTTATTGGTGATATTGTAATTATGCTACTAGGAAGATTACAGATACTTCCTGTAGGAATGGATTTCATAAGAAAGTTGAAATGATGTCCTGACAAGTTTATTCTTCTAATTAAATATGCAAATCGAGCTTACGTTAACTGCACTTTATAAAGCCCCATCTTTTTCCAAGGCTTCCAATACCTAAACCAACATGTTCATCCAAACTCTGAAGGCCTCAACCCCAATCACTGATTTAGCACTTACAGTTAGGCTTATGAAATCCTTTTACATAAGCTAATGCATGCTCAAACATAAGCCATAAATGCTGGACATTTATTCTATAACCATTAGAAACCTTCCTTTATTGACTTGAAATAAAATGGATGGCCATTCTTAGTGAGATTTTGGTGTTTATAGACTAAACTTTTTTCTGGACACTTTCTGTGGCCAAATATAAGCATTAAATGGTCATTCCTAGTTAGGTTTTGGTGTTTACAGACTCCAGTATATTTTGGGATGCTTACTTTGGTCTGATCTGATGAAATGTCTTGACAATTTATTTACAAAATTATCAGATGTTATGGCAATTGTACCTGGTCTGCAGTGCAATCTCCATCTGAATATGTTCTAAAGCTGCTCTTTTCTGCAATAAACAAATATGAACTGCTTTGGATTTCTATGATCTCTGGAAACACTTGATTAGTTCTTTTAATGTGAATATGTTATATTTTTCAGTTCCATGCAGGATATGCTCAAGCAAGGGAATCCCATTTCGAGAAGTTGCACCCTCATGGTCAGAGCGAGAACTTTGGGAAGAGGCATTTGTTACAAGTAAATATTGCTCATTCTTTCCTCTGCTGCAAGTATTGCAATCAGTTTTGAAGTAAAGTGTATTTTCTTTGATTCTTCGTGTCATCTCTTGCTTTTTGGAGTTTTTGGTCTTTTTCAAAGTGTTTTTGATGGAATTTCTGTGGAACATTTCTGTTGTTCCAGTAACAGAAACACAATTGTTTGCTGCTCTATGGAAGACCAGAAACATTCCCTATGAATGTTATCATACACTGTCTAAGTTTTTAAGAATGAAAATGTCTGAGGACCTCTCCCAACTATAGCAAATGCTTGACTAGTTTCCCACTTATCAAGCAATGGCATGCCAAATCTAATTTCGAAAATGTGATGCAATTTTAGGAAAATTTTAAGGAAAATGATTGGTAGAGTTTCCTCTAAAAAAGGAAAAAAAACTCAACTCCCATTAGAAAATGACAAACTCGGGAATTTTCTAGGAAGGATTTGACTAAAAGGAGCAAACTAAAAATAATGTGATTTTATAAAAGAGGGTTCTAAAACATTCTACTACATTTCTTCCTCTCTCTCTCTCTCTCATTTTGCTTTTTTCTTGGCTTTTCTTGAATATTCATAATTTTTTTTTCCTTTTTGGATTTTTTTTGGGAATTCATTTTTTGAGTTTCAGAGTTAGGGTTCAGAGAGCAAAGTGGGGGGAGGGGGGTATAGGTTTAAAAAGTCGAATTGAAGTAAAGGAGACAGTCTGCTACATCTAGAGTTGGGTTCTGCCATGGACATGTTTTTGTCAATATAGCGCCTTGCATTATTTTCAGTAATAACCTGCCTAGTCATCATTCACATTGTAATCGAATTTAATCATGGATGAAATGAGTATACATCCACATTCATTAAAAAAAAAGAAATGATATACATCCACTGGTGGTTGGTATAGTATGTTGACTGTGGACGGAATAGTATTGATTGAGATAGAGTTTAGGTTATAGTAATAAGCTGGCTCTAGAAAGAAGAGGAGACTGGATGGTGGTGCTATATTTCTGAGAAGTGGAAAGCCATTAAACTGTTACAAGGGATAGAGGTGAGGTGACTTGTAATTGGGTCAGAAGAAATGCAAATGCCTTTGCTGATACCCTTGCTAAACAAGGGGTGGGGAGAATTAGTTTATTCTGGGCTTTGTGGCAATTTTTTCACTTGGGGAGGGGTTAAGAAAGTTTATCCCTTCCTCCTTTCTATGCACTGGAACCATGTTTCTTCTTATTGAATGAAATTGATTCTGTTATGTATGTAAGTTTGGGTTATATGAAAAGATAACACTAATGAAACGTGCTTTAAAGCGAAAATGTTTAAGGATATATTGTATTTAGAAAATTTGTAGTGCAAACTTAGCAATAAGAGGAGGAATTATAGCAATGAGCCATTGCTTGGTACAATGGTAAAATTTCAGGTTGAAGAGCATGAGAATGTGGATTTAAGCCTGGAAGTTGTCTTGTACAAAAAATGCCAAACATTAGGTCTGTATTGAGTCCACCTCTCCCAAGACCCCATATGGCCATATGCATGGGATCAACCTTTGGTAATGGTCCTCTATAGGACTTAGGAATAGGAAATTGAGTACAATTAAAATTGTTTAATCTTGGTTAGACAATGCATCCTGGGGGGACATTGAAGAGGATCTTGATTATAGATGATAAAGAGAGAAAAAGAAGGTGTTGCCTATAGAATTAAATCAACATGGATGAGTCGCATCTGAAGCACTCTATTACCTACTGAACCAATACGAAGAGTGTATTCATTCAAGTTCTATCTGGAATGAACTTGATGGCACGTTTTATGGCTGAAGCTGGAAAAATGTGCTTTGCAGATAGCTTGAGACTTGTGCAGCATGTAGAGGCAATTCGGGTTCCAAGTTCATGGGAACTGTTGGAATCAAAAACCTGGGAGGAGTTATCATGGGAAGAGAAGCGGTTTAAGGTGTGTATAACTCATTTTCATTTATTCTGGTAGCTAGCTTAAGGATTTCTACTGCTCCAACCAGACCAACCTCTAATGGCCTTTTTCTATGTGAACATCAGGAGGGTCCAGGGATTATTACTGCAGAAATACAGGTAAACAAGTAGCTGCACTTTGTGATCATGAAGATGTGGGCTTGTGTACAGTAAGAAGGGATTACATCCCTGAAAATGAGGAATATCAAAGTAGAGAAATAAGATGAACCCTGTGCAAGCCAAATTGCTGATACCTATTTCACTTTTCTTCTTGGCAGTGTCAGCAACCAGTGTTAAAAGAAAATGGTCTACTGTTGTAGTTTTTACATTTGCATCTTTTTTGGTTATGTTATCTTTGCAGGGAGAGATAGTGGAGAGAGCAGGCTTTGAAGGAAGACCTGTAAGTAATTTTGTTTGATGGATCAGTGGCTTTTGCATTTCTGTATTCTTGGTAAGGTGCTTTGGTAACCTCTGGTCCGAGCCCTATTCTCAAGCGTTCTGATACAAGGCATTATTATACTGCCTCATGGTTTTACCTAATAAAGCAAGTTATAGCTGCCTTCAGTTCATGATTCAGAGATCAGATATCATGCAGCCATATTTAGCTATTAGGATATTATGCAGACATTACAATTTTCTATACTGTAGTTGTTGAGAGAGGAAACAATGTATGTGTTATAGACTGTTCATTCAGTAATGTGTTTGATATTGTTGTTGAACTCTTCTATAGATTTTGATAGACAAAATGATTGGATGAACTGTGGGGTACATTGAAGGCACCAGGACACATATTTTCAAAATGATTGTTCAAAATGTTTTTATCAAAGATATGCCTGAACTATGGGGTCCATGCCGGCATATTCCCTTTCTAACTGTACAAAAAGTGTTATAAAACAAGATAGTTCCAGGACCCACCCACCCAACGATTCATTGGCCGTCTCAAGTCTCAACACTATGATGCTCCCTTCTGGTCGTTTGTTCTCTTCTTAGAGGGATCTTCTTCCAGTTTAATAAAATTGTACAGTGGTCACGTTGATCTTTCCTGGTATGGGTAGTAGTAGTAGACTAGACTGAATATAGTAAAAGAGGTAAGTTGCGGCCTTGTTGTGGATGGGTGGGGGAAGTAGGTATGGGTCCATTTCTATCCAACATGCATACATGTTACCGTTGCCCAGTTTACCACTTAACCACCACCCAGTTCTCTGTAGCGTCTGATAACGGGTTAGGTTTTGTGCTATCATCCTGGTTCTCTCACTCACTTCCTTGGATTGCCTAATTTCCATTTTGGTTCACCTTCACCAGCTGCCTATTCAGGAATGATGACATGAACGAAGAAGAGGAAAGAGAGACGTGCAAGGGCGGTCGGCGGTCGGGGAGGTGGCAGTGCTGCATTGCAGCGGCCTGCGGCCGTGGGTTCAGGGGACCACCACCACCGGCCCTGTACACTTGGAAGCATCATCCAAGACACAGATGGTGAGAGAAGACGTAGCCCCTTCTTCTGGTGTGTTCTAGAAAGTTTACGGTGCGAGGACTCCCATACCGACGGTTGTGCCGCATCAGTCATCATACAATCATTCGCTTATTCCTATCTGTGCTCTGCTGATCTTTACCGTCCAAGCAAATCCCGCTGCCTTCCGATTTAATTTCGGTACGCCCATCAAAAAGGTTAGGGTAGGGTAGGCACTAGGCACTAGGCAAGGCATCTCCATCCGGTGGCCCTTGCTACGCGGCACGCTGTCTCCCCGTCAATGGACCAGTTTGATGATCTGGGCGATTCCTCACACATTATCGACTGATATCCGTACAACCTTGATGAGACGGTGATGTCTAGCGGGGTCCACTTTCACTATGTGATGCTTGTCTGTCATCACCGTCCAGTCTTTGCCTCGCCTCGAGTCAAATTTTCTTCCTTTCCTTTTTTTGCCCTTTTTTTTTTTAAATCAAACCATAAAAACCGCTACAACCCTTTGATGTGTTGTCATGGCCCACCTTAAGACTTCTTGGCGGGGCCATTGCAAATACATCTAAGGCCATGATGTTCGGTTTTAGCCCTGCGCTAAGACAGTGTGGCAGCAAAGTTAATAATTATCTATACGGACGGTGGAGAATTGGAGATGGACTCCTATAATGCAGTGAGAGCGGTTTTGGGCAAGAAGAAGACGACGCTTTTTTTTATCGAATTTTTACAATTCTTTCGTGCAACGCTAATACAGATAAAAAAAGGCAATCTACGCTAAAATTAGCGATGTACTGATGTCCTATGATCGAATGATTTATTATCGTGTGACCCACCACCATTATAGAGTAGATCAATCACCGTCGTGTCTAACTGGACGGAGATGCGGGGGTTTCATAGATGTAACAAGTGTAGGAGAGTTGCAGAGAAGTTTATCCCCCGAAGCTGCCGAAGGGAAAGAAGCACATGTCCTTGGCAACAGCGGAGAGGCTTATAAGAAGGAAACGAAGAACGGACGGTGTAGATAAACAAAGTGAAGGCTCAAACTCTCATCTCGGTCGTCTCCTTTCTCCTCTCTTCTCCAGCGTCCGATCTCCTCTTTGAGGAAAAAAAATCCACCGATTCTTCTTCGACGCGCGCCAAATACAAATCTTTCGTTCCTTCCGTCTCAGGTGAGTTTGTGCTTTTATCTTTCTCCCTCCACGTCCCGCTCTTTACTGGTATGAGTTATGACCATGGTGGAGCTAGGGTTTCTGTACTTTGAAAAGCTAGGTTTTTTTCTTCCATTGATGTTCTTCTACAACTCTCGCCCTGCCAGCCTAGGTTTTCGACGGTCATGGCAGACGCTCCGGCGAGTCCCGGCGGCGGCAGCCACGAGAGCGGTGAGCAGAGTCCGCGTTCGAACGTTCGGGAGCAAGATAGGTTCCTTCCCATCGCAAATATCAGCCGGATCATGAAGAAGGCACTTCCAGCTAACGGCAAGATCGCCAAGGATGCCAAGGAAACTGTACAGGAATGCGTTTCGGAGTTCATTAGTTTTATCACTAGCGAGTATGATACAAATTTCTGTGATTATTAATTTCAAAGGTTAGGGTTTTATTGTTTGACCTAATTTTTGGGTCTGTGTTGTAGGGCAAGCGATAAATGCCAGAGAGAGAAGAGAAAGACGATTAATGGGGATGATCTTCTCTGGGCTATGGCGACGTTAGGATTCGAAGACTATATTGATCCGCTCAAGGTGTATCTCAATAGGTACAGAGAAGTAAGTATTGCCTTCGTTCGGTTCTCTTAATATTTGCCCTATATTTTTAACCCGAGAAGTGAGAAATTTAAACTGACAAATTGAAAATTTTCTTCCTGGTTGACTTTTTGGGTTGAACGCGATATTGCAGATGGAGGTAAGAGGCTTTTCTTTAATTTTGTTAATTTGTTATTTTGAGTTGATATTTTTACTATTTTTTTATTTGATAGTGGATAATAAGTTTGTTCTGCAAATTAATCTGATACGGCTTTTGGCAGGGCGATACTAAGGGATCTGCCAAGAGTGGGGACAAAAAAGATGGAGTTGGAGTTCAACAGGCTCCAAATGCCCAGGTAATAGAATCTTCATCAGATATGTTTTTCTTTTATTGTTAGCCTTGTGTATAGCTTTCACGGAATAAATTTATAAGCGCAAGCTTAGTATCACCTTCATTCTGAGTTTGGTAACTAAATTTGACAGATTTCTCACCAGGGGTCTTTCACACAAGGCTCGAACTATATGAATTCTCAAGTAATGTTTTCATCTCTCTGTCTCTTTCAGATTTAATGCTCTACTGTTGCTTCAATTTTTTCGCATCATGGGGCTAAAACAATGGGGATATCCCTAGCACATCCCCATACCTATAACACCCCTTCAATACTGGTGGAAATGGGATTTGATCCCGAGTTGCCGCTACAACCATCCAGAGAACTTACCAACTGAGCCACGATCCGTTGTCTCAAGTGCATGCATTGCCCCATCGGCATTCATTAAGACCTTGTTAAAGAGTTAGGAATAAAAAGAAATAAGAAAATGAAGAGTGAGATGACGTTAATGGCTTTATATGCATTTGAATGCTTGCAGAACAAACAACAGATTTTTTTTTTCTGTGATTTAGATGATTCTCCCCTCCTGCTCTGTTGTTGTCTTGCTCATTTGGCATAGTTTTCATAACTAATAGTCTTAATACAAAGTTTCTGTAAGCTTTCAAAAATTTGAAACTTTAGTTATTGATCAATTTTTTTTGAAACTTTAGTTTGATAGATTTTTTCCATGCTTGGAAGTCATTGGAGGTTACCATGTTATGATTATTTTCTAAGGGCTTTGTTATTATGCTCTTCTGCTTGATGATGTAGCATTTTATGTGACTTGGTTGATCTCATGAAATGGTTGTCTTATTTTAAGTTGTTTAGCCACATAAGATGCAACAGATTCAATTAATGACCAAATTAAGTTTGTCTTTGTAAGCGATATCTAGAATGTTAAAATTATTGATTTCGTGCACTGTAATATAAATTGATTGTCACATCACAATAATGCTATTCTTTGACATAGTGCGATTGCAAAGAAAATGAGAGAAAAGAAAGAGAAAAGGAAAAAGAGAATAAAGACTTTCTTTTGGGACAATTGGAGAGAGTGGGTTAGTTTTCTTCTTTTCATATGCTTTCTCTATCTTTGAGAAAGAAAATAAAAGATGACAAAGAGAAAATTTAGTTTTCTTTTCATTTCCCTTGTCAGCCAAACTAAGGACAGTTACTTTCTTTAGATTTTGTTTTTGCTCTTCCATTTCCTTTGCAGAAAAACATAGTTTTAGTCGGTTTGGAATTGAAAACATGTCCTCATGATCATCTTGTTGGCTTACAAGTATAAGTGGTAGCATCATGATTGTGTTGTATCATATTAATAAAAAAAATGATTGTGTTGTATCATGATCCCATGTGATGTCTACACCATTCTTCATAGTGATAGACCTTATAAGAAGTAAAATAATTGTACTTTCCATGTATTTTTTGGATTCTGGCGGCTTTCATGTTAGAAGGGTCTTTTATGTTGGAAAGAAGCAAAAATCTCAGAAGTGTTCTTCCTCTTTTTTTTCTGGCATCAAGAGTCATTTTTTAGACTCTGGACTTGACAGTTGGACTGTCAGAACCAGTAACAGGTGGCCTTTCTAGTTTTTAACCTTGGGTTTTCAATTTTTTTTTTTTTTTGAAAAACCAGATGACCTGCCATTAACTCGGACAAACCATTGAAAACTATCCTAACCTAAACAATTTTCAACAACCTTTCAAGTTGTTGCTTTATCACAAGTTTAAAACTGACAACAGAGAGACTCGAATTGTAATCTCCCCCTCGAAAAGAATATCATATTACCATCAAATCACACACAAACAAATCACAACTTATACATATTTTATAATATTATAATTTTTTATAGTTATATACATGATGCCAATGTACTGGTTGGACCATGATGACCCAGTATCCTTTTCAGATTCGTGAAAGTTTGAGTTAAACATCATTAGTCAAGAGCTTGTAATTGGTTCATATTAATGAATGTTGATGCAGTGAATTGATGAAACTACAATAGGATGTGATTTTGCAAAGCATGACATTGTTGTTTACAGAAGATTGGTGAGCTAGGAATACCAGGATTACAAAGTTGGGACACGACTATTGTTGTAGATTTAAATCATGTTTTACTGGGTTTTAGGAATGCATTTAAACAATATATTTCTTAAGCGGTAATTTACTAACCTAGGTTGTTTGTTAACCTCCATGGCATTAACCTAGTTGATGTGCATGGGAGGTTAGGGATGGCAACTTGGGTCAGATTGGATTGGTTTGAGATTAACCTTAGCCCAACTCAATCAAAACCTCAACCATAATCCTAATCTAACCTGATATTCAGCATGAGGTTCTCATCCCTAACCCATAAGCCAACCCATTCGTGTGATAGAAACCAAGGTTCAAAGTATCGATACACCCGATACAAACAAACATGTGTATCAGGTTTCTCGATACTATCAAAACCTTTTTTGTTTTCTTTTATTTTTTTGATGAATAATAATAAGTTTATTGATTCAAAAGCAAATTAGAGTGAGTTCATACATCATCCCAACGAGAGGCGCGAGCTACAGCCCCTCCTTGAAACTTACAAGTAAACTAGGAAAGAAAAACAAGAATCACAACTGAGCCCAAAATAATTCTTCCCTATTTACCCCTTGCTTAGCTAACACATCTGACAAGGTATTTGCTGATCTCCCCATCCACTATACAGTGACCAACATATTCCTTGTCAACCAACTAAATTTCTTCATTTCATTCTTGTATCGCCACATAGCCTCTTCAGAAATTTTCAACCAACCCACCACCACTTTGGAATCCCCCTTGATTATTAGGTGTTGTACCCCTAGCTGGTTTGCAAATTGAACCCCTTGTACAGCAACTAAAAGTTTTGCCCTGATGGAATTCCCAATTCCCAAAGGACCTGAGTAGAGCAACAAAATCTCTCCCTTCTCATTTCTCAAAGCACCCCCCACTCTGGATAATCCTGGATTACCCATGCTGCTTCCATCAAAGTTTAACTTAATTGAGCCTTCGGGTGGAGGAGACCAGCTTGTAATTGATTTGKCCTTTARAGATGAACACCTTGCTACTGTTGACCAATTTCTCCAAATGTCATTAAAGGAGAATTGATGAAAGATTTCCAAGGTCTTCAACCAATGTATTGCCCTGTTTAACACACAGTCTTTCAAATCTTGGCTGTTCCTTTCCTTATCTTGAAAAATTYTGAGATTCCTYTYTTCCCAWAGAGTCCAAGTCAAGGCAGCACGAGCACATCTCCACATAATTCTCCCTATATTTGTTTTCTTTTAACTAAATATTTTCACAGGAAGCCAGTTTAAATGTTATACTATAACTGTTAAAAGTGAGAGTTTCTAGAAAGCCTTAAGGCATTTTGGTGAGCCCAGTGTTTTACAAGCGCAAGGGCCAATTTGCACCCAAGGCACAAGGTGAGGCGCACACCTTTTTAAGCAACATATTCCTGTTAAAGTATGAACTTCATGTTAAAGTATTTTAAGTCAACATATTCCAACATACTCATGAGAAGAAAAAGAAAGAAAAGAAATTTCAAAAAATATAGGGGCTGAACCCCTATTTCTGTTAGGAAAAAGAAAAGAAAAGGTGGAAGAAGAAGAAGAAGAATTTAGTATATAAACACACAAAATTAGTAAAGAAAAAGAAGAAAATGTGTTGATTGGACAACATTTTATGTTCTTCCTTACTTATTCCTTCGGGTTTTGAAGTCTTTGAGGGTTCAATACAGCATTTAGCAATGTTTGTGTTGATTAAACCCTAACAAATAAGAAAATAATAAAAATAAATTAATATATAAACACACAAATTGAATATTTTAGTTTAAAAATGTCTATTTTATAATTATAACCTAAAAAAATTAAGAATATAGAAGTTTTTTATAACACACTATAGAAAACTGCTTGGCCATTAGGAGAGGCGAGCCTCCAAGGGCGCCTTGTTGCCTAGGTGCTGCCTTGACAACTATGCTTGTAGGTTCAGCTCTGGGTGTGCTAAACCATTTAAATCTAGAAATCATGGCTATAATGGACAGTTTATTAAATTACCTATTCATACATCACAATAATGGTTACTTCTTCAAAACATAACAAGGCAGGTGAAGTAGCGAGGTACACCTAGGTTTGGGTGAGATGTACCCTATAAAACATGAGATGGACTTGGCTTTTCATGAAAATCATTCTCTACTTGAGCCTATGAAAAGGAAGAAATATTTTTGAGGATGAGTAAAAGAGACTAATCTGATCTAACCTCATCATCTGATATTCCTAGTTTTACTTGAATTTGTATTTTTTAAACAAGAGATGGTGGGACACTAACCTCGTCATCTGATCAAAAGTAAAAGAGACTAATCTGATCTTTATTCATAAACTGCATGCTTGGGCCTGACTTGGCAAGCAGGATTCTATCACCATAGTACAAAAGAATACTTATTAGTCCCTGACTTGGCAAGCATATCAGTCATTGCATTTAGTTTTCTTGTGATCAGTCTAGTGTGGGCGTTAAGAATAGACTCTCCTCTCATTCCACTGGTTAATATTCCATGAACCATTGCTTTCCTTTTGGCCCACTTGTTCGCAGTTGAGCCCATAGTTAGGTACAACTTGGGTGGGTACTTTTGTTAAATTTTGAATGGGCCTGACCTGAGGGCCTTGGCCCTGATGCAGTGTAAAATTTGACTTAGGTACCTGAGTTGCACCTATTGTCAAAATCTTACTACTAATGAAATGATGTACATTTCAAATCATGAATTCCAAAGGTTTTGATCGTATCTTACATCTTAATCCTTTTCTTAAAAAGTCTTACAATTAGCATTGGATTTTTTATTCAATTTATTTATATTATTGATTTTTTATAATGTTCGTTTAGAAAATAGGAATACTCTTGCAATTTATGATATTTTCTTCATCAGCAATGTATGAAACAAATTTTATTCAATTTGATTGAATTCTCTCTACAATTTACAATATGAATATCAGAATATGGTTTTTAGAATATTACAAAAGGCTGATTTTCAGGTGGTTTTGTGGTGAGACTAGTAGGGACAATCATTTCATGATCTTTTAGATGCCTAGATGGGTAACAAGATCAGTTAACCTCTACACTAACTTACTAGCAAGGAAAGGGTAACAAGATGCCACCTGCATTGGGTGCCTAACAGCTAACACCATGGAATAAAGTTTGTTTATTGGGGTTTTCCAGCATTGCGGGTTTAGTAAAAAAGTGGCATTTTAAGCCTTTTTCTTTTTACATTTGGTTTGTTGATTGAACTCATGAGTCATGAGCCACACTATGAAACTTTGGAAAAGGATAATTGAGAAAAAAAGATGTGTATGAGGGGTTTATTCCAGGGAGATCAACTATGGAGGCTGTCTTTTTTTTTTTGCGATCATTGATAGAAAAGTTTAGATAGAAAAAGAGGGATCTTCATTTATTAATTTAAAGAATGCATATGATAGAGATGCTAGAAGGAGATAATATGGTGGGTTTTGGAAAATAAAGAGGTTCCAAAAGGTATATAGACCTAATTAAAGATGTATACGAGGGTTCAACATCCATGTTAGAAAATCTATGGAAGAGACATTAAGTTTTATAGTTATGATGGGTCTTCACCAACGTTTAACACAGCCTTTTTTTTACACTAATCATAGATAAGTTGTTTAACATATTCAGGAGGGGTCCCATGGTGCATGTTGTTTGCTGATGGCATTGCTTTAATCGATGAAACTAAAGAAGGATTAAACACAGAATTAAGCTTATGGAAACTTTAGAAACAAAAGTTTTTAAGATAATTAGGATTAAAACAAAGTATATGATACCTAAATTTAATAATAATAGTACAATCAGGGTACACTTAGGACTGGAGACCAAAAGTTCAGTCAATGTGACCTTTTCAGGTACTTTGTTTCCACAATTCATAACAAGAGAGCGATTGAGAATGTTGTTGAATTAGTCCAGGATGGGCAAAATGGAGGGGTATCAAAAGTGTTGATAAGCAAATACCACTTAGGTTAAAAGGAAAGTTCTATAGAACAGTTGTAAGGCCAGCCATGGTGTATGGAGTAGTGTTGGGCAGTTAAAAAACATGTCCAAAAAATGAGTGTGGAAGGATTGGATGAGCGGAAAAATTGGATAGGATAGGATTAGAATTAAATCATTTGAAGGAACCTAGGAGTAGCTCAATAGATGATGAAGTACTAAGATGGTTTGGTCATGTGCATAGAAAACCATCAACAGTGCTCATAAGAAGTGATTTGTTGTGAATTAAAGGGATAGAAGGGTTAGGTGTAAACCAGAAAGGACATGTGTAGTAGGAAATTATTTAAACACCAATGATTTTACAATGGATATGGCATTAAATAGAACAGAATGGTGAAACAGGGGATTCATGTTGCTGATCCCATGTGGTGGGGATAATGCTTGGATGATGATGATCATTTGTTGATTATTCTCTTCTTTGTAGTTACTTTCTTTCCTTTTCCTTTATTTTTACCATAATTACTGATTAGAAAAATGAGGTTTTAGGGGACTTTAGTAGTGTAGGGTATACAAATTTTGTCATGAAGATGACCCTAGAATATGGTTAAGATTGGCGTAAATTGAGCTGGTGTTTAGGTTAATGAGGAAAGAACTTAAGTTTTTGCGTAATGGCTCTTTTTGTCATTTCAATACTCCCAAGTTGTGGGGCCTTGAATATATGATCTACTTGAGACATCCCTGATTTGCATTCTCCGATTTATTCCCATTTCTCATCATTCTTTTATGCTTTACTTAGTTCTTTTTTTTTTGGTGAAAGCTTTGCAAAATTCAGGGGAGCCTCCAGCTTATTGTTGCAAGGTTCCCTCCAGTAATGTCCCTTTTATGTTCAAGGCTCCTTGTATATGGATGTTTTTTTCTTCTCAGTTTTTAAATCTTCAATACATTGTTGGGGGGAATGGTTTAGTAGATTGTGGATGAATGTTAGTTATACTGAAATTGGTTGGATTTGGATTTAATACTGTAGTGTACTTTTGAAATTATATATGGTTCCTTTTAGCAATCTCGTATTTCTAGCGAGGTGTGTAGTGGATTAGATTGGCTGTGTATATAGTATCAGTCAAGTGCAGAGCAATTTTTTTAGAAACTGAGTCAGCGAAAACCTTGTACATGGTCAGCTCGCCGGTTACTGGTTGGTTATCTGGGAAGTTGGTTTGAAATCATTGTTGACTGCAAAATTTAGTGTACAAAGGCATATTGGTGTATGAGTCATCATTTTATCTTTTTAGACTTTTGAACAAAATCTAGAGTCTATATGAAATGGTTAGATTCATATCATGGTCTTTTTGCAATTTGGTTTTAGTTGACACCACTCAATTTACATGTAACCCTATAGCATGTATTATATATGCTTTTTTAAGTTTGTTCTGCATGACCATGTAATATACATGTGTTACGTGAATTTACTTGTTATAGGAGGGAAGAGAACAGATTTATGAGCTTGGATTGAAGACTGATGAATTTACTTTCTGAAATTTGCAGTCTCAAGGACATCTTCTGCTTCCCATGCAAGGCTCAGAGTAGGCGCTATTCTTCTATTTGACTACTACTATACTTGTTTGGAATTCCATGGGAAGGAGGTCCCGTTTGGCACAAAAGGCGTCTAATATCATCTTTTTGGACCGAGAGCTAGACCTCTTTGGGCGATGGGTGGTGGTGTTGTCGTCGGACAATGAGATGTTTTCTAAATTTTGTATATTTATGGGTTTCTGTTTTTTCCAAGGACGCTAACCCTTTTAAGGTCATGTAGACATGGAGGAATAATTTTATAATGTATGTTCATAGGAGACAAGTACCAGCCATTCTCTTTCGTTTGTTGAAATTTGAAAGCTTTCTTAACATTATCTAGTGCTGCTATGTTTATCAACTTTTTTAACAGATTGCGTTGTGATTTACTTGTTTAGGATTTAGGAGATCGGATTTGCTCCTCACTTAGCATGCCTCACAGCATGTTTCAGCTGTGCATTTGGAACATCTCCTCCGTCATTAGAACTTTTTATTCATAGAATCATAGGGATATGTTCTTAATGCACGGTTGAAGCGTGCTGTGAGGTGCAATCTGTGAGGAGTAAATCCAAACTCAGGATGATGAGATCGGATTGGATTTGTTCCTCAGTGTGCTTTACACGGATCTTTTAGTACGTTTCAGCCGTGCATCTGAAATCTCTGTAATTAAAAATTTTTACTTATGGGGAGATCGGTGTGAGGTACGTTCAGTGAGAAGCTTTGATGGATCAGAGTCATCAGATCCTTTCAAACCTTTTTCTGGTATCTTAGGTATCATTTGGCAAGGTTTTTTTGAATGATGTTTTCAAGGTTTAAAATATGGATATGCCCGATATATTGGTACGGGTGTATTAGGTGAATTGATACAGCTTTTGGTGTTTTTTTTTTTTTTTTTGCAACTAGTTCAGGGGAGTTGGTTTAGGTCTCTTCTACGCCTTGAATCAGTCAGACTCTCAATACACCCATTGTAGGGGCGTATTGAAGGGGTCCTGGAATGATATGTATTGGTCAGTATGTGTTGATATTTTGAACATTGGATCTTTTGGCAGATTTGATAGTGAAAAAGATAATGTGAGCTTTTGCATTAAGATCTTAATAGTCTAAAGACTGTTTGGTTAAAACGTGTCTTCCGGTATATTTTTTTCATGTGAAGATGCGATGAAATAAGTCTATATGGAGTTTTTCGAAATTAAAATGGGTTTTGTGTATTTTTTTGGGATATTATCTTTTAGTGGCTAAATCTTTTTTTCCAATTAAATGAGAAAATATCAAAACGTGAACTACTAGACTTCTAAAACAGCCGATAATCCATACAAAAAGACACACTAAACAGTGCCTAGTTGAACATGGAATAAAGTAAATTCCATATTTGTATCTAAATTTGGGGTAATTTATCTTTATACCCAAAATTTAAAATGTGTCACTCGTTGGGTCCCAATAACCTTGCAACAAAATACATTCCGATAGCCTACTAGCATGGTCTGACACCGCACATCCCTATGTCACATGATGAGATGTGTGGTGTCAGATGATATTGGTTGGCTGTTGGAATATATTTTGTTGGCTAGAGGACAGGAGATCCCAATTGCTCAGCCTAAGAGTTAAAAAAATATTCCACTCTCTAAATCATGTTTCAAAAATAGGAATTCAGATTAGCTGAAGGCTTTGGTTGTTCAACGGACTGTAGAATCAACGATAAGATTCCACGCGAGTTAAAAATTGATGACTCCATTGTAAAAAAATAGTGACAGGAGAAATGGTTATAAAATACCGTTATCCAATGCTGGTGCTAGTTAGTAGGTTGGATACGTTGAAAAGGGTAATTGATATATGTGGAGTGGATGGCAGGGAGTGGAATGAAAAGGGATATGGCAGGTTATGAATAAATGAATAAAGACCACTGAATGCTTGACGAGTGACAAACAAGTGAATGGCTTGGCTGATCAAGTTCAAGGCTTATCATACCATACAGTAGAGACTAGAAAGCGAGGAGCGACAAAAGTCACAAAACCAATACCAGGGAGGCTCCAGGTTGGCACGAGCGTGACATTGATTTTGATACTTCTGTGTCACTTTTTGCTCTATTAACTTGTTCTGATACAACACATGAGTCCCTTTTATTTTGTTAATAACAAATCATATTTCATTATTTTTAGTTTAACTTGTTTATGATATGTATTATTTAGGGTTCATTTGATATGTAGCGAGAATCAGAATTAAAATTCCTCGAAATTGAAATTGGAATGATCTATTCCTCTTCCCTGTTTGGTTTAGATGGGAATTGAAATCAGAATCATAATCAATTAGAATGAATTCTCATAATCTCATTCTGAGGGAGGGGAGGGAGAGATCAAGAATGGAAATAGGATTCTGATTCCAATTCCAATGCAGTTCATCAATGATGTCTCGAGCTGAACCAAATATTTACATATAGGAATGGCAACAGGGCGGGTTTGGGGCAGGGCACCTCCTCTCTGTCCTTGCTCCGAAGTCATGATACCTTGCCCTGTACCCACCCCATCCCCGGTGGCGGGGTGGGGCGGGGCATTCATTCTCCATTGGGGATGGGGAATCCCCTAATTTTTCCCGTTTCAAGACAATTACTTAAAAATTATCTATTTTATGTACAATTTATACATATGATATAGGAATTCAGGGGTATTTTAGAATTAAATTATAATATTTTAGGGGTAATTCAAAAATAAAATTATGGAATCCTGGGATTTTAAAAATTTAGGGAAAACTTAGAGATATTTTAAATATCAATATTAAACCTAAAGATATTTTACTAATTTACCTTTGGGTTCCGAGAATTATATACAAAACTCGTCCCCACCCCGTATCCGGCTCGAGGAAAAATTATTTTTCCCATCCCCGCCCCGTCCTTGTTTAGAGTCGAGGAAAACCTGCTCCGATTTTATGGGGAAAATTGCCATCCCTATTTACATATCAAATTTGAACCTAAGCACATCCATTTGCAGCCCTACCATTGTTCACAATATAATATATTCTAAAATAAGGAAACAACTTTTGCAACTTGCAAGGGGTGCGGGGGGGAGGGGGGGGGGATAATTTTAATACATGAATGCATATTTGCCAATTTTGGCTGAGGCATTGAACCTTTGAGTCTCTAACTTTCGCTAAATGCCATCTATTGATTGGACTTTTCATATACTCTATTGATGTACACGCACATGGCAAGGCCCAGGATCTCATCATGTGGCATTGGCCATGGCAAGGTCAAGTGTAAAAGGGGGTACCCAACTGAAGGTAAGGGCATCTTGTTCACTCTTGCTTTCCTGCATTTTTGTTCTCAAAAGACTTCATCTGAGCCCTTGTCTCAAGTCTGGGCTGATTTCTCTTAAGCACTTGATTAACTTGACCGTCAGAGTCTCCACACATGAGATAACACCTATAACCTCTAACGTGTACTTTCCTTTTACTCTCAGGTTGGATTCATCGGCCTCGGATTGAAGTAAAGTTACCTTATTGCCTTCAAGGAAAAACCAAATTGTTTTCTGCTTTAAATTAGTTTTAACCTTCATGTTTAACACTCTGTTTGGATGGCATGTACAAATAATGGTTTATTTTAGTTGTGCTTACAATTTGCATCCAGAGCTCAGCCCATATCCAATATCATGAAGTTGGGTTAAGGCTGGCAGTTTTACAATTTGGGTTAAGGAGAGAGAGAGAGATTTGGCAAGATTTTTATAGTGGTGGTTGGGGTGAGAGTCCAAAACTAATCCATTTGATTGTCCCAGCAGTTTGTCATGTTCCAGCAATTCAGTCAATTCGCCAATAAATGGCAAAACAAAATTTGGAGAAACAAGTTAATTTTATGATAATAATTGTTTATTTGAAGAAATAAAAAAGAGTAAAGAGCATGGATCTGCCAATAAAGTCATCTAATGAAGGGTATAAGCGAACCTAGGACACCATTACATCCACACAACAAAAAATTATCCATGAAACATTGATGTCAAATTAGTTTGGGGTCCAAAAGGAATCCCTAATTCCTTTCTTTGCCCATCATAATGGAAAAATATTTCATTCCAAAGAAAACCTTGCCACTGCCCTAGATAAGCTTTCTTACATGGCTACCTTTTACATTTAAATAATGAAAATTAGAAGGTTATTATTTGGACATAAACTCCAATACAAAGTTTTACTAAGCTTGATGTGAACTGCCGGATTCCAAAGTATGGCGAATCCAAAGGCTTTCCCATCATATGAATAGTCTAGATTAGTCATAAGATTTCTTTGCATGACAATAATATAATAGATTGTATATACATATATGCATATATAAACATTTTTTGTACCAATTAAATATGATGGGACCTGCTGGTTGTAAAATACATGTTAATACAACATGGCATTCAATCACACACTAGAAATGTCTCCATGAATGTGTTATAGAAGTAGAGCTGTCAAACGGGCCATCTTGGGTCATGCCTCCCTTCTTTGTGATAATTTGGGGCTCTACCTGGCATGGCCTATGACCTGAGCCCGTGTAGGCCCATGTCATGCCATGGGCTTGGGTTGGGCAAGTTGTAGACTATGCCGGGCCTTGGGCCTGGGTCGAACCTCCTCTATTTTAAATATTTTCCAAATCAGGCTAATGAATTTACTATTGGGGAATTGGTTTCGGGAGGAGAAATTGATCATTTTTTTAATTGTAAAAAAATAAAAATTAATTTAATTGCACTTACCCAGATGGTTGGATTACCGATTCATAATCTCAACTTGATTTCAATGGTTGAAGACTCTCAAAGCCTCCTAAATCGCTAAATGCCTAACTGCCTAAGTGTATGACAGTACGAGATTGTATGATAATTTAGATGAGGGACTGAGAGATAACTACTGTGCGAGAACTGAGAAGAGAATTGCTGAATTAGTGTGATGAGAATAGGGTTACTTATAGAAATTGAAAATAATTCAATTGCCCAAAATGCCCTAAAAATTAGTCATTTTTTAGTTGTTGAGAGAGATATTTTGGTCAAAATAAAGATATTTATCACTTTACCTAAATAGCTGTTATATAGCTATGGAGGGAGTATTTTTGTAAAAAAAACCAAAAAAACTAAAACTAACCATTGGGAGGGGTTAAGGGTACCCCAACGACTAGTTTCTCGGGTGGGCCGGGCCATGCCATAGGTCATGCTGGCATGCGAGCTATGGGTGGCACAACATGTACAATCATGTCGTGCCATGGCAGCCCATGAACATAAAACCCCTAACACAGCACAGCCCGCATTTTTTGTGTTGGACCATGCTAGGCCACAGGCGGCATGACCCGTTTTACAACTCTATATAAGAAAATGGGAGATGTTCTTAATGTATGACCAGATATTATAATGTCAGTGTGCTAAACGCACTTTTTTGTTGGCAGCAGATCGATGCTCTCGTCAAATATGTTTGGTAAGCCCCGGAGTCAGGCGTCATGTAAGAAGTTAAATGGATAATTTAGGTGCCACATAAGGTACTACAAATGTTGCATCACCCTATCATGGAGGGATTGTCAATTTGATGATTATGAAACCGGAAACCCTAGGTAAAAATGGCATCAGGCTATGCTGGTTACCCATTAATAGGATCATTTGACTATTTGAGCATATCGTGTGCTTTATTGACACCACAGTCTATACTTGCCTCAAATATACAGCGCCAAATGTTATAAAACAAAATAGTCAACACCAAATAGGGCTGCGTTAAGATACGTTTCAAGATTTGTGCTTTTAAAGCATAAAAGCATAAAGCCCCAATTTTAGGGCTTGTTTCGGAAGGCTGAGGTTTTGGTTAATTTTTGTTTTTAATTAAATTATTTTTGATTTTTAGGATTTTCACCAAACACTATTTATATGCTGTCTGGTTGGGGCTCACCTCATAAAGCCAGTTAGCCAGAATCGCTATGTAAAACTGTGAAAGCCCTCCCAAATGAACAGAGTCTTTGTGTTTTGGGGTTTAAAAATGTTTTAGTTTTAGACTCTTTATGTTTCAAAAGCAATTGTTATTTGAACACTCAAAAAATATTTATTTTCCATATAAAATAAAAGTTTATGAAAACAGAGTCTAATTTCTTTTATACCACTTAGTAGAAAAGATCCAAGTGGAAACTGATGTAGTTAGTATCTTTTAAAGCTTCGGTGTGAGGAGCGCTATAGATCTGGACTCACAATTGGGTTCTATGTATTTGCCAAGTCATCGATTCTAGGTTCATCTCATACCTCAATCCAAAGTTTTGTTTTGTCATGCGGGTCTCCACTGTATCGACTTTTCAAAAAGACAAAAGCAGTAAGTGGAAAGTGTTTTGGTTTCAGATTGTTAAGTTTTTAAGAGCAATTATTACTGCACTCAAAACACTTTTTTGGCTTGAGCCAAAGACTCAAAAAATAATTATTCAAACAGGCCCGTTTCTCTTTTACCACTAACGTAGAAAAGATTTAAGTGGAATCTGATGTGGCACCTTTTGAAGCTTAAACGTTAAGGCAGCAGAACGGTGTCAACTATCAAACCCACCTTGGTTGGCCTGCTCCACCAGTGACCAGCCAGGCTCCATGGATTTTCCAGGTCACCCACTCTAGGCTCGTCTCAAACCTTAAGACAAAGTTATATTTTTCCACGTGGATCTCCAATGGCCAACTGACTGTTCTAATTTGCCACCTCATCCATCAGTCCCTTGAAACCCGGAAGTGGAAAGTTTTCTCGGTCCATCTACCCGACCCGTTTAAAGGATACTGTTTCTGTGTACACATACCTTCCCGTGTGCCAAGCGAGATGACGTAATATATAATTAATAACTCACGGAATATCAGGAAGAACTGATCACATCGTACGTATACGGTTTAAAGAGAGAAAACATGCTATGCATCTCTCCTCTAATGAGAAACGATGCACCATCAATCATTTGTTCCTTAGCCAAGACACGTGGCGATAGAGATGGGAATCATGAAGGATGGATACACGTGTACGGCCATAGAGATGCAGGGTTTTGTCCTTAATGTGCATCAGGTGCATGATGCATATAGAAAATGAGATCGTACTTCGTAGTAGAAATAACAAGATATATATTGCAGCAGTGACTCGTAACAGGATTCTGCGAGGCCGTCCGACTGAGATGCGAATGGCGGTGCAAACTCTCTACTTCCATTGAATTCGGTTCTCCGAAAAAACACTACTTCTTATCGTCACGAGCTTCCATTTCATTTATTATAATCTCTTCTAAACTGAAAACACGAAACTGAGAAGATAAAATAACAGAAAAAAAACAGTGCCAGAGAAGGCAAACCCTAAAACAGCACAATCGAAGATCAAAGGAGAAAATAGCAAACCAGAACAATATAGGTATGATAATTATTAAACAGATGAAGAACGAATTTGTATGTTTTTACTTTCTTTTTAGGTGTTTCCTTTCTCTTAATATGATCGGAGGAGCCTTAGTTTGATTGTTCTGCAAAATGTTCTCGGAGTCGATTGTCTTTGTTTATTCGATTATCTTCTTTTCTTCTTACTTCGACGATCGCCGATTCTGATGTGTTTAGTATCTCTCTCTCTCTTTGATGGCTCGATGATTGTTTAATGTTGCCTGTGGTGCAAAATTTTTATCGGCGTCTTTTTTCTCCTCTGTTTTTTGATGTCCTTCTCCTAGTTTCCTGATTAGGTGATTCAGTTTGATCAATCTGATTGACCTTTAAATAATGGGAAAAGTATGAATTTCTATTTCAGTTTCCATATGTTCCTACTGCATTCGCTGTTTCGCATTGGTTTGGTGGTTCTGTGTTGAAGTTTCAATCGTTGGACCATATAAGAGTTCTACTCGGATTGGCAATCCTTGTTTAGGAGGTTATTCTCCAACTCCTGATTGCAACTTGAGTCGTGCAGGGTTTGAATTCTATTGAAACGCTTCTTCCTAGCCTTGAAGCTAGGAATTAAATTCAATGGAAAGCCGGGGGCGGAAGCGAGCAGAGCTGGTAGATCAATTGCCCGCAGATAAGCGAGCTTGCAGCTCGTCGGACTTCAAGCCCGGTTCTTCGAGTTCATCTGTTCAAACCCAGATGGCTTCTACCAACTCTGCCTCTGAAGCACCTGACTGCGAGATGGAGACTTCATCCTCTGCTTCAGTCTCCGGTCGATCCGAAGGAGAAGCCGAGAAGGATTCTGCTTATGGGTCTTGTGATTCCGATGGATTGGATGACCCAGAACAAAGACACAGGAGCTTCCGTGAATATCATCCTCGGAGATCGTCCAGTGACCAAGCCAAATTCAAGAGAATCTTGTCGAGCTTAGCTGATGATGCTGGACCCTCCAGCCAGGTTGTGGCCCTTACGGAACTCTGCGATGTCCTCTCCTTCTGTACAGACGACTCGCTCTCCAGTTTTACTGCAGACTCATTTGCTCCGATTCTTGTCAATTTGGCTAAGAACGAGAGCAATCCGGACATAATGCTTCTTGCTGTCAGAGCTATTACTTACCTATGTGACGTGCTGCCTCGGTCATCTGGGTTTCTTGTACGACATGATGCAGTTCCTGCCCTTTGCGCACGATTAATGGCCATTGAGTACATGGACCTAGCCGAACAGGCACGCTCCGTTGACACTACTGGAGTCTTTCACCCTTATTTGATTACCATATGAGATTAATATACATGTAAATGTCCATATAGTGATTAGAATCCAATGTTCTTTCATTGCTTTTACTGCAGTGTCTGCAAGCCTTGGAGAAGATTTCCCGTGATCATCCACTTGCATGCTCACAAGCAGGGGCAATCATGGCCGTTTTGAACTATATTGACTTCTTCTCCACTAGTGTTCAGGTGAGTAAATTGGTTCTACTCTTGTTTACTTGAGTAAAGCAGTTATAACCTTTATATTATTATTGAGGAATGAGTTCTATTGCATTTTCTCCTTGCATCTCATTAGATGCTTAGAGATGAACATATGGTTTATTGGTCTTATTCTTTGTCATTGGCATCAGAGAGTTGCACTTTCCACTGTTGCCAATATATGCAAGAAGCTACCCTCTGATTGTTCTTCATCTTTCATGGAGGCAGTGCCCATTTTGTGCAATCTTCTCCGGTATGAGGACCGGAAGGTATACTATGTTATATTCTATTTGAGTGTTCCTTGTTGTCTACCCTTCTGTTTATATATTATTTCTTGAGTGTTTGTTATTACTCTAGTATTGCCATATTGTTGTTCTTAACATTTTGTTTGTCACTTCTATGAATAATACAGCTTGTAGAGAGTGTTGCTATTTGCTTGATAAGAATAGTGGAGCGGGTCGGTCACTCCTCTGACATGTTAGATGAACTCTGCAAGCATGGGGTGATTCATCAAGTCTCACATCTTGTAGCCTTAAATAGTCGGACTACCCTCAGCCAACCAATTTACATTGTATGGAGCTTCTAATTTGCAGTTCCTGATTTTAATTTGTTCCTTACTTGTCTGGCTGTTATCTTTGTCAAAGGTGTTTGATCTTTGCTCATATTGATTTTCAGGGTTTGATTGGACTGCTTGCCAGACTTGCATCTGGTTCTGTTCTAGCTGTCAGGACCCTTATTGAGCTTAATATAAGCAGTACCCTGAAGCAGATCTTAGCTACTTATGAACTCTCACATGGCATGCCTCATCCTCATATTGGTGACATGCACTCTAGTCAGGTTTTATTCAGCATAAAATTTTCCCCATTTTGGCTGCTTCTGCATTACAATTTGATTATTACATTTTTAAGTTTAAATAAATCTCTTCATCTGATATTGTTCTAGGGCAGTGGAACTTTAAACATTTGTGTATTGCTTGTCAATCTAAGTTTATAATACATGCGAGAAAACTGTATGCTTTTCTGCTATCCAGCTCTTGAAGAGAGAACTACTTGGATAATTGGAATCTAAAATTTTGATAATCTAATGTAGATTGGTAGATTAGTTTATCATTATTAATTTCGTGTGTGCCTCAAGTAAAACATCAATCCCAGTTTCATTTCATTTTCTTTCAATACAAGCACCAAGTCCATAATGTAAGAACACTTATTTCCACAAATCCCAGCCAGGCAATAAGGTTCCCTTTGGGGGTGTCTAGCTTAAATGCCATGAATCATATTGTTAACATGAATGTATGTTATTAGAATGTTAAACTCACATTCTTTATGCTTTATTTTAGGGTTTTAATCAGTGTTGCTTGGACATGGATACAGGAATCAGAATCCAATACCTACCTGTCCAGGAATCCAACTTTAAAAGATTAAAAGATAAAAGACTTGAAGACACATCTATAGAAAACATGAACTTTTAAAAATAGTCCATATTGTTAGGGCAGTTAATAAGACTGATCAAACCAACCATACTGATTACTGACCAACCTGACCCAACTCAACCTGAGTTGGTTGGTTTTCAACTATTTTTGGTCAGCTTCGGTTCGTGCAGTATTCTAACTCGAGAGGTTGGGTCTATTTCAGTTTGGCTGTGTTTAAACTGACCAGAACCGACCTGACCCCACTATACATATACTGCTGCAAATATTAATTAACGGTTTTGAATTTTTTATCCAATCATATCATGTTTCCTAGTTTAAAAAATTAGTTCTGGGCTGTCTTTTGAACCGACTGACCAAACCGATAAACCAACACAAACTGTTATGGCCCGAGTTTTCCGGTTTTCAGTAATGGTCGGTCAGTTTTGGGTGGCCAATTCCCCAACCCGACCAAGTCGATTCAGTTGACCCAACAGCCTGCAACTGAACCGGACCGACCCATGAACACCCTACATATTGTTTTGAATTATTACATTATATTCTTTCAGGAAAAGTCTATAAATGTGCCTTCATTGCTTAATAATGTTATATAGAAAACGTGGAGTTCATTGTGCTATTTGTTTATATCATACAAGGAGAAAAGGAAAAATATTATGTAGAAATGACCCTCAAGAATCCATTTAGTGTTGGATTATGATTTGTGCCCAACATGGACACTTCTCCTATTAAGAGAGTGCATGTAAATGCTGGTTTCACTATTAAAACATAAAAATATGAGAGATTTTGTAGGGGGAGCTCTCTTTCTCTCTCTCAAATTTTTTTGAGTGCCTAAGCTTTATCTTCTTCAAATTTCTGTTACAGCACTAGTAGCATGTTCAAGTTGCAATTGTATGCAGTCTTCATAATTATTTAGTGCTTTGTAGTTTTTCATATGCAATTACTTCATTAAAACTTGTTTTTTTATCGTCACTTTTACACTTTATTAGACATTTATTATATTACAATGTTGTTTGAAATATTTAATTGATATTTAAGATGCTATTGTCTTTTGGATATATATTTTTTTGAAACAGGTAAAGTAAAATTTGCATTGATTATAAGAGGCCGTACATGATAGTATGTACTTACAAGAACTTTAAGCCCTCCAAAAAAGTCTATATTCAAAATAGAAGAAGACAATGTATCATTTCTAAATACAAAATGTATTGACAACCAGCTCCTTAACACCTCTATAGCCCTACCACAGAATCTGGTGAATCTTTTTGCTTAAAAATCCACAAGTTTCTTTCTGACCAGATGGCCCACAAAACAGCTAAAGGAACTGCTAACCAGCATACTCTCCCTTTTGGATATAAAAATTTATGACATTTTGATATGAGATTCATTATTATTTGGTAAAGAGCATTCTTCTTTTGGGTTTTTTGCACCTAAGCAATTCAGCACTCCACTACCACATAGTATCTGCCTATAGTGGTCTTGACCTAAAAAATACCCATAAAATACTATAAAAATAGATAATTGTCCAAAATGTCAAGCTCTTTCCAAATCTCAATTTCTATTGAAAACTTATGTTTGACCACCTTTGAATTGCTTTAAATGGTGATGAAGAGAGCTTACAATTTAGCCTTGGCCGGTTAGAGGTGGATTACCTTGAGACGAGGTTGTTTCCATTTCTTGAGCTTCAGGAGTAGAGCCAGTTTTGCTTCTATTCAGTCTCCACTCTTTTTCCTTTGCTTTCTCTATCTCTTCATAGAGAAAATAAAAATATGGTAAAGAGAAAAATTTATCTCTGTAGTCTCTATTTTGTCTTAACTTTGTTTTCTCTTTTGGTTTCCCTTGTCAGCTAAACTAAGGAAAGCCACTCTCTTTCATATTTTGCTTTCCTGTTACTCTTTTTCTTTTTTGCAACCAAATGCAGTTTAAGGGCTAAGCTGCTGACAGTTTTCCAGGGATTAAGCTAGCTTCTTCATTTGGCTGGACTAATCTTGATAAAAAAAATGTACACAGCTTCCAATTGATCAGAACAAGAAGTCTCAAACATTCTTTGACCATTACTCAATGAATGTTATTGCAATCTTCCTCTATATGCCTAGACAAAACACTTTTTTGCCAATCTAAATTCTGCTTCTTTTATTTATCAACTGTGTGCGCTTCTCCTAGATCCATCATCCATATAGCCTTGGAACTCCTCCAGTGTTGTTTGTTCCTTCATTAGACATAGTTCACCCCTTAATGTCTCTTAAAAAAACTCATCATGACTCTTCCAAATGCTTGATAATTCATGCACTTCCCAAACCAATTTTCTATCCAACTTGGGAGCGATGCCTCTGAAAAGTCTGGACAGAGACAGACACATCCTATATATCCACGACAAGATTAAGCTCCTCAAATTCACAGCAGTTATCCACTTGCATATTCAACTTAGCTATAGTGAAAATGGATGTAGCTGCCAAACCGGATGTGTCAACATGAAGAAAAGCTCTCCATTCCATCAATAATTTGTGTTCTTTTCCTTTATTTTTGAGTCAAATTCCCAGTTAACTAAATCTCTACACAAATGGGATTGGGCTAACCAGTCCCTATTTTCCTTTTTTCCCCTCCTTAGTCTGGCTTTCTAAATTTGGCAAGAGGACTCTACCTTGTAGTCAAGTGACATCTTATTGCATCAACATGCTTTTGTTGTGCATATTGAGTGTCAATCCAACAGTAAAGGAAAATTCTTAATTTTCAAATTCTGGCAATGGTTTCCTAATTGGGTCAAGTAGGGAGTTTCCTACCAACTGATGGTGTTTCAGTTGGTAGGTTCTCTGACTTGTATCAGAGACCTGGGATTAAATCCCACTGCCACTAGGGTGTGGGGGGTTATGGGGATGGGAGATGGGCTACCCCCCGTTGTTTAGCCCCATAATGAAAAGTAGGGAGCTTCCTACATGCTACCTAGTTTTTTCCACTTAGAGGAATGGTGTAGCCAATACAAACTATGAAGTGGTGGGGTTGCAAATTGATCTGATATAATCCAATTTGTTCAAGTTGGATTTAGATATCCATTTATCCATAACCAGATTGAATCAGTTCTGAAAACATGATCCATTTATTAATTAAATCAAATTTGGATATGGCTTCATTCAATGCAGAATGGATTTATCCCAATTACAGATACACGGATTCAATCTGATAGGATTGGATCCAATCCAATTACAGATACACATATATTAAAGGTATCCATTTTTTATATTTAAATTCTCTATTATCAAGTTGGAATTGAGATTTAGGTAAACATATTTTCTATTTATGGTCCATCTTTTGTTTTATATTTTATTTTGTAAATTTATGCTAAATTTTATACAGATTTACTGATATTCTTATTGAATCAGATTTGAATCAAATATCCAGATATGTAAACAAATCAGATTTGGATGAACCTCTATCAAAATTCAATCCAATTTGTTTGCAGCAGCCAGCAGCCCTATCAAATGGGCAGTTGACTGTCCTCACATGTTCAATCTTGCAGTTCAAATCAGCTTTTTTCCCCTTCTTGGTTATGGTGATTTCCCTAATTAATATTAGCCATTCAAAGTTACATATATATAACTTAAAACCTGCCTACAAAGAAGGCCTTCTTGTGAATGCTTGTCAAGTTTTTTTGGGCTAAAATTTGTCCCATAAATGGAGGTCAAGAAGGGGAACATGTAGGATCTTTCTGGGCTCCCTAATGGTTTTCCACGAGGAAGATGCCCCTTGTCTTTCATGCTTATATTCCCTTATTACAGTCCTTAAAAAAAATGAGACATTTGGCAAGTCTTTTTGTGTGGTCTTCCAGGCTTTTCAAAGCATGGAAGACCAAATTTTGGTCTTTCTCTGTTTTCCAATGAAAGACAGGAAGCCAGAAAAATATATGCCCTAAAAAATGGCCAAAATGGCTAAAAATCTGAAAGCTTTAAATGAAAATTCCTGTCTTTCTGCACCTAAAATCTTTCATTTAACAGCTCTATAGATCATGGTAGACTAGGATACTTACCAAATGGCCTAGATCTTTAAAGGCAAGACCCCAAAAGCTCATTACGTCTTGGCCATCTAGGCTGTCGGAAGATCTTCCTAAAGACTTCTCAAACAGCACCTAAATAAAAAAAGGAGAAAATGATTGCCCATGGAAAAGAAAAACAGTGGTCTGACTTCCCAAATGGATTGGACATTACTCTCAGGATCAGGGTTACATCCAATCCCCTCCATTCAATCTGCTCTATAGAATTTTTCTGAAAACAGATTTTCAGTATGCAGAAATTTTGAATTACTTAATTTTACTTTTACTACAATTTTCCTTAATTTTTATCTTTATTTCTGGTCTTTCTTATGTTGAGCATGGAAAGATGGTTTTACATTAGACTGAAACAAAGTGAAAAGAACTGCCATTCTTTCTCTGCAGGTGCATGAAGTTATTAAGCTATTAAATGTCCTTCTCCCTCCTTTGCCTAGAAATAATGAAGATATTCCTCTAGTTTCAGATAAGGAAAGGATTCTGGTGGATCAGCCTGAACTTCTGCAACAGTTCAGGATAGACATTCTTCCTGTCTTGATACAGGTTAGTTCATTGACATCTAAAGTTGGTGATTCCCTTTTCCCTTCCATAGTTCAGTAACATTTTCTTCCTTCCTTGGGACAGGTTGTTAACTCTGGTGCAAATTCATATGTTTGCTATGGTTCCCTTTCTGTTATCAACAAGTTGGTTTATTTCAGTAGATCTGACATGCTTCTTGACTTGCTTAAGAATACCAACATTTCAAGGTGAAGGAGGTTTCTTTGTCCCAGATGCCTAAATGTGATGAACTTTGAACTGAAGCTAACTACTTTAATCTGGGATCATTGTGGCAGTTTTCTGGCTGGTGTATTTGCACGAAAGGATCACCATATTCTGATCTCAGCTCTGAAGATTGCCAAGACTGTCTTGGAAAAACTTCCTGATGCTTGCTTTAGCTCCTTTGTGAAGGAGGGTGTTGTTTATTCCATTGATGCACTTTTAATGCCAGAAAGATCTCCAGAGATCATGTTTCCAACATCTACTGATATTGAGCTCTCATCTGGTTCAAACCAAAAGTTAGCTGCAAGGGATGATCCTAGATGCTTATGCTATGCACTTGATAGTGATCAGTTTCCTTCATCTTCAGAAAAGGGAAACTGCAAACTTGAAAGGAACTCTGTTTACACTTTAGCAAAGAAGATCAAAGCCACCTACTTTGCTACAGAATCTCATGACTCTAAAATAGGAATGACAGAAACTCTTCAGAAGCTCAGAACTATTTGTACCCTGTTGATTGATAAGGTGAATATTCCCATGAATGATTTTACCAATGACCAACATGAAGAGTGCTTATATGGTATATTGCATCAAATAATGATTGAGCTGAATGGAGGGGAACCCATGTCCACTTTTGAGTTTATTCAAAGTGGAATAGTGAAATCACTAGTAAATTACTTATCCTGTGGTCAGCATATGAAAGAAGAGGTGGATCAGAATGTCATATCCATAAAATATCATTTTGTATTGAAGAGGTTTGAGATGTTTTCTATGCTTTCTTTGATGTCGGTGGGTGGGTTTTGGAAGGACATGCCCCTTGCAAATTTAACACAGAAATTACTAAGTGCATTTTCTTCCTTGGAAGATTTCCCTGTTATTCTGAACCATGTTTCCAAGTCAAGAAACACCTATGCTAGTATTCCAAGTGGGCATTGCACAATGCATCCATGTTTTAAAGTTCGTTTCGTGAAGGAAGAGGGTGAGGCATGTCTATGTAATTACCCTGGAGATATTCTAACTGTTGAACCTTTTACTTCATTCGATGCCATTGAAGGGTTTCTGTGGCCTAAAATTAGTGGAACTACAGATGAACACCATACATCAGTTTGTCAGCCTTTGGTTCAGTGTAAAAGTGTACTTCTTCCACTACCTTCTGATACAAGATCTCCTCAAGGCAAGGATCTAAATTTTGTAGGGGAGATTAACAGCATATCTTCTGGTGTGCCAGAGGTCCAGGTTATCCTCATACACTTGGTCTGCAGATATATGCTACAGAAAATTTAGGATTTTAGATTCAGGAGTTTTTGCATTTTTATTATATTTTCTTGGTCATATACCGGTACGATCAGTTTTATAATCAGCAATTCTAATTTGTGCAGGAAAATCAAGGTAACATGTCTCCTCCAATCAAACGAGCAGTTGATATGATAGAAGGCAATCCAACAACTTCACATTTAGTGCATACGGAGCCTGTAAGTGAATCTCTTCTTTAATAAACACCAGTAAATAATCTGCAATTTTAGTTTCATTTGATGTTTCCACTTACTGCTAGCTTCTTACTGTGTTATCCATATGTACTTGTTTCCAAGGTAGATTGCCATCCTCATTTGCTACTTGCTACATTGTTTTTCAGGGCTCTAGAATACAAGATTTGCAATATTCACCAGAGATGGATAGTGATTTGAAACTAGTGGATTCTAGTAATGGTAATTCTCTTGAATTGTAGGATGATCTAGAATTCAATTCAAACCAGCCTTAATCTGAACTATATAAAAAACATTTTAATTATGTTGCCTTGGTTTTTCTGCCTTACTGGGTAGAAAAGTTTGCTTAGATTTTGTTATTATGATTGCTTACATTTTGAAGAATCTTTGCATTCTGTGCAGCTAGTGCCTCCACTTCTACATCTAGTGGTAAAGAATGTATGGAAGGTAGAAAGTGTCCCACATCCTGTGGTAACAGTGATGATCCAACTAAATTGGTATTTCACCTTGAAGGGAGAAAGCTAGATCGGGCATTAACACTCTATCAAGAAATTCTGAATCAGCATGTAAAGGCAGAAAATGATATGATTGTGGGCCCAAAATTCTGGAATCAAGTATACAAAATAACATACAGAAAAGCCACAGACCTAGAAAAATGTGATTCTCAAGATAGTTGTCATGGGTCTTCCATTTCTTCTGCATTGAATAAGCTTGGGACTTGTTGGAAAGATGTTCCATTTTTGTCTGGAATGTTGGTTTCTAAACTTCCTTGTGATTTGGAGAAATCAAATCCTACCTATGATATGCTAGTTTTGCTAAAAAGCTTGGAAGGCTTAAACAGGTCTGCATTTCATCTAATGTCTCATGAAAGAAGATGTGCTTTTGCTGAGGGGAGAAGCAATAACTTTGATGATTTGAGGGTGAACGTCCCTTCACTTCCCCAATCTGAGTTTGTAAGTTGTAAGTTAACTGAAAAATTGGAACAGCAAATGCGGGATCCTTTGGCTGTGTCTGTTGGTGGAATGCCTTCTTGGTGTGCCCAGTTAATGGCTGCATGCCCATTTCTGTTCGGTTTTGAGTCAAAATGCAGGTACTTCCAATTGAAGGCATTTGGTTCCTCACGAGTTCAACCCCATCCATGGCCGCAATCAGCCACCAGTAACTCTAATACCTCTAATGATAGACAACAACATGCTGTTCTGCTGCCTCGTAAAAAATTCCAAGTTCGCCGAAGCCACATTCTAGATTCTGCGGCACAGATGATGGATCTGTATGCCAATCATAAAGCTATTCTTGAAGTGGAATACAGTGAAGAAGTTGGTACAGGCCTTGGTCCAACAATGGAGTTTTATACTTTGGTTAGTCATGAGTTTCAGAAGGCTGGCCTGGGTATGTGGAGAGAGGATCATAGTACTCCCACTGCGGGGAAAGGCTTGGATGATAATAGTTCTGGATTTGTGGCAGCTCATCTGGGACTTTTCCCTCGTCCATGGTCTCCTTCATTGAGTGCCGACAAGACACTGGTTTCAGAAGTGATCAAAAAGTTTGTCCTTCTTGGTAAGATTGTAGCAAAGGCTCTACAAGATGGAAGAGTTCTGGACTTGCCCTTCTCCAAAGCCTTCTATAAACTTATTCTTGAAAAGGTTATCTTTCTGTCTAATTACTCGGCATTTGATTTGCATCTTCTCACCAAAATAATGTTAAATTTGGATGATTTTGATGATTTTCTTCATCTTTTTTATAGGAACTCTGTATATATGATATTCAATCATTTGAACCTGAGTTTGGAAGAACGTTGCTAGAGTTTCAGGCCCTTGTGGACAGAAAAAAAAATTTGAACTCTATTTCTGAGAAAGGCACAAATTTTATATCTGACTCATGTTTCCGTGATACCAGAATTGAAGATCTTTGCCTTGAGTTTACTCTTCCTGGATATCCAGATTATGTTCTTGGTTCTGAACCTGGCAATAAAATTGTAAGTCATGCTTTATCATTTGGTTCTTGTTCTTTATAGAGACTATGTTATTCCAAAGTGTGAAATTATTCCTCCAAATAAATCTTTCCTAGGTAAATATGGATAATTTGGAAGAATATGTTTCTCTCACTGTGGATGCAACTGTGAATAGTGGAATCATCAGACAAGTAGAAGCTTTTAAATCAGGATTTAACCAGGTCAGTTCCATTATGTACTGTCTTTCTGATGGTTATGTCAGTTTTAGTAATTCTATGTTAAATCATTTTTTCATTTCTTTGGGTTATGGAGAAAGCTAACATAAATCTAAAGTAAGTAATGTTGTCTTGTTCAGAAATTTTCTATGGTATGCTGGAAAATGCTTTTATAGGCTCCAGGACAATTTGCATCCTTATTTTTTAATTTGTTAATTGATTGCTGTTGGTTTATGATTGGAGGACATACAGAAATACCATCTAGTGCAGTAACAGAATTGTGGTGTCCTCAGAACAAAGGTGGCTGCGGATTCATCTGAACTAGCTCTGCTTATGGAAGTTACTTTAGAGTTATAATGAGGAGGCTGATAATGTATGGAGGAGAGTAATTCTTCCCTAATAATAATGTCTAGGAATTTATATTCCAGAAGTCATATCGAGAGTCTAGGGATGTCAATGGGCCGGGTGAAATGGTGAACCCGGCTTGACATGACCCTATAATGTTGGGTTAGGATCATGTTTATTCGGGCGTAGGATCGAGTTAGGGTTTTGATGCTTCCACCCAAGTCAGATTCAGGTTTCACTATCCCAATATGCTGGGTCATGATACCCCTAAATATGTAGATGGTATTCTTATAATTTATTATAACTTCTAACCTCATAACCTTAAACTCTTAAAGTTTAGGATCTCTTTTCATGTTTGTTTTGTTTTTTCTTATCTCATTATTGAGGAAGTGACACCTTGGAACCCATAAACCAAATTCCAACTTAAAAAAATGGCTCTTTGGCTTTCAAAATGTGTTACAAAAATGCAATTGAAAAACTATGGTTTGAGTCAGGTCTGTATTGGGTTGAACCCCTATAGGGTTGGAGCGGATTTGGAAATTAAATGTTATTTAGTCATGTCAGTCCGGTCTTTCATTCCAAGTGGAAACATTAGAGGATCAGGTTACGGTGAAGGAAAACCCATACCGAACTTGGACCCATTGACATTATCCCTAAGGAAGTCTTTGTGGGTATTCATTTCAAATGGGAGAAGGCCAAGGTTCAAAATATTTTGACACAATATGCTCGATACAAGGTGTATCTTATTGGTATTTGAAGGCATGGGTATGCAGCACAGGTGGAATGGTCCTCATGCCATGCAGTCATGACCACCACTGAAAGTTATGGCAGCAATTATGACCATTGCTAAAAGTTTCTGATAGCTGCCATAGGTAAACAAATTGCTATACAATATCCATCCAAACTTTTTGACAGTTTTTATAGGCTGTCCTGACAAATTGGATCGCTAACATATCTCCTATTATATAGGCAGTTAAAGTTGTTAGATCTATATACTTTTCCCTAAAACAATTGGAAAATACAAAAAAAAAATTATTAAAAATATTTTTTATGTTTTAAATCATTTTCATTGCAGGAATGAATTATAATATGGATCTATTAATGATCTAACATGCTCATTGATCTAAGAACAGTTTAATGTAAAGAATTCTTAGTAGATCTAACAACAATTCATTGATCTAGCAAATTTGGGTACAGTTGCAATTTCTTGGGGGGTTAACTCTGTAATGGGGTCGCTCTCTTTTCACAACTTCTGGTTGTTTTCTGTATCTTTTCATTTTTAATAAAATTATGTTTTCTGTGTTGCTGATTAAAAAGAAAAGAAAGAATTCTTAGTAGATTATAAGCTCAAACATTGTTTGATGCAATGTTTTAAAACGCGGAGGCGTGACGCGAGGTGTGAGGTGTAGTTCAAAATTTAAGAGGCATAAACCTCCCGAACACAAGGAGGCGTACTCCTCAGAGGTGTCAGCGCCTCTGGCATATGCCTCAAGGCATTTTGGGAGCACCTCCAGGCATACGATTCCCATGCCTTTTAAAACACTGGTTTGATGTATTATTAGTAAAGCTATTGTATGATATCTACATGTTCTAGACTCTTGGAATTGTTGATTGTAATGTATCTCTTCATATAAATTATTAATGTGTACATTTCTTATGTGTTTATACCTTATTCATAGTAATTGCAGACCTAGATTGTGTTATTAATATATTTGTCGGACTTGTAAGATTTTGCCTAACATGTCCAAGTGTGTGTATCAAAACCGTATATGCAATATTGATATTTTGAACCTTGGAGAAGGCAATAAAGTCATTTTCCTAGGACCACTTGTAGTGTGGAGAGACCTACTATGCTGCTTTCTGTATCCGGGGGGGGGAAGTATCATATGGAATATTCTCCTTAGATGTGGATAAATGATGGAGCATGCATGTGTATGAACTGGATCTTGATATTGTCAATTTGGTAAAACTGGTGTAGAGATAATGGATGAGATATCCCCGAAGTTGATGCATCAAGCTAAAACAGAGCCCATTTATTTTGGAAGGGAAAATAAGAAGTATATTGGTAAAAAGAGAAAGGAAAAAAAGAAGGGAAAAAACACTGAAGGTCTATGGAAGAAAGATGGAGTATGGAGGATTTATATGGAGACTATAGAATCTATTTAATTGGTTGGTCTTGGGGAGAAGAATGCCATTTGGTGCCACCCCTGTCAAGACAATGCTATAGCCAACAATGTCTAAGAAAGCGGAGGGCCTTGGGCACATTGAATTTCAGGACAATGATATAGTAGATTAACCCAAATGATGAAAACAAATTGGACAGGTACCCTTCTAGATGGTATAGTCCTAGAACAAGAACAGAGACAATGAGAAAGTTAATTGCTATTGTATCAATATTGTTGAAGAAACATTGAATCACTGTGGCCATGACGGTTTGGGCAGAGGAGGATTTCAGGGTCTAGAATATTGAAAATTTCTATAAAATACATAATAATGTGATGGTTTGAATGCTCCCTACCATTTTCTCCTAAAGAAGGTATACTGGAAAAAATAATGGAAGTCATGCCATTTGAAAGAGGAAAAGGAACAAAGGCAGAGGTTCTAAAGTTCCATCTTTTCTCATTCATATTACTGTAAAGAGTGCTGCTAGTGAAGAACAATAGTCCTTTAGCCACATTTTTATGCAGTATTGTTTTGGACATGTTAGCAAAGGATGAATGCATTAGTGAGGAGTAATTTGGAGCAGGTTGAAGGGTACTACAAAAATACGAGAAACATCAAAAGAGAAAGGTGTTTTAGTAGTAATGGGGAAAAGGTGATAGAATTGCCTTGACTTGGCATCATTTTATTGATTGCCATTTACACTTAATCAAAAAAGTGTTTTCGACATCCATTCATCCATAATACCATAGGCAACAGTTTTTGGTTTTTCCTTCTTATGGATACTTAGGTAGGGCTGTCAATGGGTCAGTTCTACTTGATCCATGGAACTGAACTGAACTAATTATTTCAGTTCTGGTTCTATGATTTTGTCCTGATTAATAATTGGGCTAGTTCTTGTTCTTGCTTGTTCCAAACCAATTTCAGACCTGAACCGATTATTTTCTTAATAACATATAAAGGTTTCCTAGTTTTTTCTTGTAATTTTAATTATATTTATCTAAAATGGAAATTCTGATAGATAATATATAAGATAATCTTAGTTAAAAACACTTGATTTATTAACATACAAATAATTTACTATTCACTGTCATTTTTGTTAAGGTTGTATTATCAAAAACCACGTTTTAAGTTTTATTTATATAAATAATTATATTCATCATTATAATCGGGCCTACCAGGTGGATGCCAGTTATCCTGATTATGGGGACAGTTCTGGGGCTATCTATGATTTTGTCCTGATTAATAATCAGTTCAGGACTGGGGCACCCTGTCCTGACCCAAACCCAACCCATTGACAGCCCTAGCTTCAGCAAGGAAATTTGGGAAATTGAGAATTCTAAGAATTCTATTCCACATAAATTTGAAGTGGTTATCTTGTTATGAATATAAAGTCATCCGTCTTAGCTACTTTGTTATGAAGATCAAACCTTTAGATTATAAAACTCTTTCAGGAGTGGCCTTTTCTTTCCCCTTTATGTGATAAGTGGATATTAGGTTAGCAGTTTAACCAAGAAATTGTGTCAGATATATTGCAAAAGTTTGATACTGAGTTAGATTAGGTTTTTACTGCTAAAAGAAAGACCAGATAGGCCCCTAAATTTGTTTTTGAAAGTCAGCTCAGCTTCTCAAGTCTTTCATTTTTATTTTCTTTTCAGTTTCCAATGAAATAATTCCACATCATATAGAAATTATGAACTGTTTCAGTTGAATAACAATTAATGCCATATTGGAATGCATGCTTTTAATTGCTATTAAGAACGAAGGATATAGCCCATTGTATGATAAAATGCTTGATTATACAGGTCTTCCCAATTAAAAGTCTACAAATATTCAGTGAAGAGGAGCTTGAGCGTCTATTATGTGGTGAACGGGATGCTTGGGCCGTATGTATCCATTGCTTTATATATTGAGTTACAGTTGATGGATTTATATGATTCTGAACATGATTCTTTTTGTTTATTCAGTCCAATGAGATTGTGGATCACGTCAAGTTTGATCATGGCTACACATCTAGCAGTCCTCCTGTGATTAATGTCAGTATCCATTTTCTCACTCTCGCTTTCTCTATGTATCATATTTTGGGAATTTCTCACATTCACTGAATTGCAGTTGCTGGAAATTATACAAGAGTTTGAACACGACCAGCGACGAGCATTCCTACAATTTGTGACTGGGGCACCTCGTCTCCCTCCAGGGGGCTTAGCTGCTTTGAACCCAAAACTAACAATCGTGCGCAAGGTTTGCTTCAACTAACTTAATCTTGTTCCACCGCTTATTTTCTTTTTTAGCCAAGTTGTGATAAACATCCAACAGACTATAGAGAGACTTTATCCTTGACTTTATAGCGAATGGGTTTATTGTCTTGCAACAGCACTGTAGCGAGTGGGTTGATGGAGATTTGCCTAGTGTGATGACTTGTGCCAATTATCTGAAACTTCCTCCTTATTCTTCCAAGGTAACTCCCCCTCTCCCCTCCCCCTCTCTCTTCATTTGTGCCTGTGTGCTTGAGTGAATGTGTTGTGGACAAGTACAAATGATCTTAATCTAATGTTGTGCAGGAAAGAATGAGAGAGAGGATTTTGTATGCTATTACTGAAGGACAGGGGTCTTTCCACCTTTCTTGACTTCGGGGCATGCCATCCACGTATATTCAACTGTGAATTTGTAATTAATAGTTTAGGTGGTGGTGTAGATAAAGAATTGGAGTGAGCAGATGATGATGGTGATAGGGAGCTACTAAATACGGGGGAAGGGGAACAAAGAAGCCCCCATCTTCGTTTAGCAATTGGGAGTTGTGTAAATACAAGGCATAAGAAATTTAATATCTAGATAGTAGCTGTAAAAAGTTGAAGGTACTCGGAGAGATCTCCATCCTTCGTTCTTGTGTACAAAGTTGCTATGTACAGGGAACCTAAAATGCTTCTCTCCAGCATGTGAATATGTTATCGGTGTTCATATATTTAATCCGTAAATAAACTCAACACAACAGTAAGGTCGCATGTCTGTTTTCGCACAAATCATCATTTTTTTTACTTCGCAAAACAATTTCAGATACAGATTGTCCTTCTGCCAATTATGAGTCTTAGAATTCTGATTTTTCCATCTTAGTGGCCTCTTTTTATAAAAATAAGTAATAAATAAATAAACCAGAGGCTAGATCCATTTCCAATCAACCCCTCCCAAGACCTTAGATAGCTGGGAAGCACGTAGGTCAATGAACTTTCATTTCCTTTCTTGATGGGTGTCTTCATATTTGCACAATTTAAATGAATTCGCATCATCTCCACTCAGCCCATCCCAGCCATGTATTGGGAACATCTCCCCATGATTAATAAGGAGAATGCTCCCAATGCACGCTGAGATAGGCATGTGGGGCGGCAATCTGATCTCAATTTAAGCTGGTACTAAATATTCTAAATTAGGTGGGGGATGAATTTTGTCTATTTATTGCTATTCTCCAAAGTAAAAACTGAACAGATGATAAAATTGTCAAGATGAATGATTCTTTCTAGCCGATTTTGAGGACCATCACTTTGGGGCTGATCTACAGATATAAGGGCCTTGTAGATCATTTAACATGTGAATGTGTGATTTGGGGTTCCTGGCCAAAAAAAGGCAGAGACTCTAGTATGTTTCACTTTCATGATTTGAACAATCCGAATCACTCGTTGATTAAAATACATTCCAACACCCTATCACTCATTCATTAAAATTGAAAAAGGTTGAAGTTTTCTTTGTTTGTATTTTCTGTCAACCTCGACTTATTGTACAAACAAACTCAAAGTTGAAATAAAGATATTTGTTTTGAGAAAAAAGAAACAATTTCTAGCAAGGAAAAATAATGTGCCGTCACTTGTGCGAGCTCAGCAATCAGTGTGCATGACCATCGTTATATCGTTTCATATTTTTTTCAAATTTAAGAATACAACTGAATGAGAAAACGCGTACCACTTCCTAATAGGGCTGCAAACAATATCCAATAGCCCGAATTCAAACTCTAATTACATCAGGTTGATCTGAATTCAGTTCATTTATAAATGGATCGAATTTGGATCCACAGCTATATGATCCGATCCGATATAAATCAATTAGATTTAATTTAAATATATGTTCATATACACTTACAATTTATATTATATTTCAGTAAAATTGGCCCGAATATTATATTTTCAATGAATTGTCAATAGGTTCAAGTTTTATACATGTACTTTTCTATCCATTTTTTTCGTAAAATATAATATTAAAGTCATTTTTAATTCATTTTATTAATAATAAATAATATTTTGGTTATTGTAGTCTAATTTATGAATCTGAATTTGATTAGAATCCATTAGATATCCAATGGATATGATGATCCAATTTGAATTCAAATCTGCTCATATCCAATTTAATTCAATCCATTTGCAGCCCTACGAAAAACAGGAAACCCAACCCTCTTTTTTCAAACAACACCATCGGAGAGAGAAGGAATAAAAGCAAAACTCAGCTTACCACTCTATCCCACCCAATCTTTATCCGTCTCCCGCTCGAACTCTGTTATGCTCAAAATAAAGTGTTCTCTCACAAGTGGGGATCGCAGAGGAGAAAACCGGAGTGCATGAAGAGGTGTGAATCCACAAATGTGGCCGACTTACCAAATTTCTTCAAGACTTGGTAATGTTGGAAGTTGGAACCCTGAAGACCACATGGTTGAGCATTTCTTGGAGATTGCACAGCGCAAAAAGCCAGATGATTTTGGCTGCAAATATTGATGACTAAATTTACATTATCAAAAATAATCTGGAAACCAAATCTTGGCACAACCTAATTAGCTTTTTCGTACCTGACCAAAGAACATCAGTGATGCATCTGCTAACCAGACCAGACGATTCTGCATATTCAACACCACAAAAATACAGGTTTATGGAAGTGAACCTAGTTTTCTTGGTGCTGAGATGGTGTGATTCCATAACAGAGACGAGGAAGGGAGAAAAGAGAAAAGAGAGAAGAGAGAGAATTGAAAAAGGCAAAAGTCAACGGCACCAGTTTATTTTGGTATATATACTAGGGCGACCATACATAAAAAAAAATAAAAGAGAAAATTACAAAGGTGCCCTTGCGACACTAAACTCAAAATAAAACTAAGTTATTTCAACACCCCCTCAAGTTGGAATGTAGATATCAATCATGCCCAACTTGTCACATAAATTATTGTGCCACGAGTGATATAAGCCTTTTGTAAATATATTTGCCAATTGCTCTTTGGAACTCACATATGGGGTGCACAGCTCCCCATTAACAATTTTCTCTTTAATGAAGTGTTTGTCAACCTCTATATGCTTAGTTCTATCATGAACAACTGAGTTGGCTGCAATGCTGACGGTAGCCTTGTTATCACAATACAAGGATATAGGATCATCAACAGGAAAACCCAGTTCACTCAACAGATTCTTTATCCACATGCCTTTAGCCACTCCATGGGACATTGCTCTATATTTAGCTTCATCACTAGACCTAGCCACCACATTTTGTTTCTTGCTTCTCCATGCGACAAGGTTTCCTCACAAAGGAACAATACCCACTAATATACTTTTTGTCATCAACTGATCCAACCCAATCAGCATCTGTGTATATACTTCAATCTTCAAGTGACCATTCTTTTGGTATAACAAATCAGCTCCAGAAAACCTCTTTAGGTATTTGAGTATTCTTTTTGTTGCCTCTAAGTGTGTGGTCTTAGGAGCATGCATGAACTGACTAAGAACACCCACTGCATAAGCAATGTCTGGCCTGGTCATGGATAAATACAGGAGCCTTCCCACAAGTCTCTGGAATTGTTTTACGTCTTTGACAACTTCACCACAACAGTCACCCAGTCTGTGATTTGGATCAATGGGAGAGTCGGCTAGCTTAACCCACCCCTAGTTTTCCTGTATCTTGTAACAGATCTAGGATGTATTTCCTCTGATAAATGAAGATCCCCTTTTGAGAGCAGGCCACTTCAATTCCTAGGAAATATCGAAAGGGACCTAGATCCTTCACCTCAAATTGAGTGACTAAGAAATCTTTTAGTCTCTGAATTTCAATCTTCCAGTCACCTATGATCACTATGTCGTCAACATACGCTATCAAGGCTGCAATCTTTCCTTCCCCTCTTTTCACAAATAGAGTATGGTCAGTTTGACATTGTTTGTAACCAATCTACTATATAGCCAGATGAAACTTGCTGAACCAGGCTCTCGGTGATTGCTTCAAACCATACAAAGACTTTAATCTGCACACTTTCTGCTCTTTGCCTAGGGCACTAAAGCCAGGAGGTTGAACCATGTATACCTCTTCTTCAAGGTCTCCATTCAGAAAGGCGTTTTTAATGTCTAGCTGATGAAGATCCCAATCAAGATTTGCCACAAGGGAGAAAATGACTCTAATGGAGTTCATCTTGGCTACTAGGGCAAAGGTCTCTGCATAATCTACATCATATACCTGGATAAACCATTTTGCCATCAACCTAGCCTTGTACCTTTCTATCGTGCCATCAGCTTTGTGTTTCACTGTGAATACCCACTTGCACCCTATCAGTTCCTTACTCTCAAGAAGATCCACTAATTCCCACGTACCATTTTTATGTAAGGCATTTATCTCTTCTTTCATTGCATCTGTCCATTCAGGTACTAAGAGAGCTTCTGCCACATTTTTTGGGATAGGGACATTGTCAATGAAATGAAAGCACGAAAGGAGGGTGAAATGTTCTCATAGGTAACAAAATGGGTAATAGGATACTTGGTGGTACAAGACCTAACTCCCTTTTTGCAATAGGAATGTCAAGGTCATCACCAGATGGAATTTCTATGGAAAGAGGATCAAGAATATCAATAGGAATGATAGTACCTGGTTGGATATGATCTGTCCTCGATGAATCTGATGATGGTGGTGGTACGATTTCAAGTTGCTCCACAGCTTTCGAATTTAGCTGGCTCTTGTGACGATGAAAAACACGGAATGGAAGAGGGTTAGGCAAATGAGGAAGATCCTGAACATGAATTGATTTTTCCTCCACCTTACTCTCCCCCTGAGAAGAAACCGAGAAAAAATGATCACTTTCAAAGAAAGACACATCCATAGAGACAGTACTTCTTGGAAATGGGGTCAAAGCATTGATAGCCCTTTTGGGAAGAAGGATAATCCAAGAAGACACAAGGAATGGTACGAGGATCAAGTTTTCCACAAGTAGGAGAAAGGTCCTGGACGAAACAACAACAACCAAACACACGAATAGGAATAGAGAAGAGTGGAGCCTTGGGAAAAAGAAGTTGATGGGAGGCCTTGTACCCTAACAAGCAAGATGGCATACGGTTGATGAGATAGGCAGCACAGAACACAGTATCCAACTAGAAACGTTTAGGAACATTCATGTGTAGCCCGCGAGCAACTTCAAAGAGATGACAATTCTTTCTTTCAGCAACACCATTTTGTTGGGGGGTTCTAGCGCAAGAGCTACGGTGTATGGATCCGCACGAGGCAAAGAACTCCGTGAGATCACTATGGAAATATTCCTTGGCAATGTCTGATAGAAAAATTTGGATTTCCGTTTGAAACTGAGTGAATATCAAGCGTTGGAAATCTTTAATGATTTTTGGTACTTCATCTTTGGACTGCATAGGATACACCCATGTATATCGGGAGTAAGTGTAATGAAATATCTATAGCTAGACTCAGTTGCTAAAGTAATTGGGCCCTAGACATAAGAATATACAATATGGAAAGGAAAATCAGATTTATTATTTCTTGAAGTAAAGTGATTTCTACTATGTTTGCTCAACTGACAAGTTTGACATGTAAAATCCGACACTAACACTGATTTAAATAAATACGGTAACAAAACTTTCAATGACTCAAAAGATAAATGACCCAAACGACTATGCCATAAAAGGACTTGACTCTTATTAGATAGACTCTTAGACTCAATAGCATGCAAGACAAGCTTTATTCTCCAGCATATAAAGACCATCTACCATACGACTTCTACCAATCATCTTCCCCGAGGCCAAATCCTGTATCATACAAGAGGAAGGAAAAAATGTTACTGAGCAGTTCAACGAATTTGTTATACTACTAAAAGAGAACAAATTTATGGACAGTTTAGGAACATGTAGAACATCAGAGAAGGTGAATCAAAGAGGAAGGGAGATGGTTCCTTAACCAACTATGGTGGAGAAAGAACCATCAGCAAGTCTCACCTTGTCCCAACCAAATAATACATGATAAGATTGAAAACAATTGGACTTACCCGTTATATGGTTCAAGGCTCCAGAGTTTATTATCCAAGGGGAGTCTGAGGGGTGAGAGGACACATGGAAAGTTGTGGCAGAATTACCGTTACCTAATGTAGATGCAAAGGAAGTTAAGGGTGGAGAGCAGAATCCATCTGGCGGATTTCCCTCCCATACAACTTTAAATGGTCATGGAAAGAATTAATGATATCTTCCCTCATATCAGTCCCGAAAGAACTCGTAGTGGTGGTAAATGATTGAGGCTCTTGAGAGGCTAAATTTGTTGCATTAAACTTTTTCTTACCTTGCTATCCTGGCTTCTTATTCTAATCCGGCTTTTTACTCATTTCCTGAGCCCACTTTGGCTTCTGCATCACACTTCCGGTCTATATTCTAATATATTTTAGCATAATGACGTTGTTCAGAGTATGTAGACTGTGCCTACTCCCATATCTCATGAGTTGTTTCTGCCCACATGAAGGTCTTTCTCACTTGTGGCAGCATAGGCAATAACAGCCATGACATCACCATATTGTTTTCCCAGTCCCACCTATCATGTTCCACACCACTAGACTGGGATTCTCTAATTCCGCCATTGATATATCCTACTTTTCCCCTTATAGTTATGTAAAGTTTGATTCCCCTTGACCATTCTAGGTAATTAAAGCCATCAAAGGGAATCCCAGCCATGGGAAAACTCATGTCAAAACCTCCGCTCATCCCACTCTAACTAGAGGTAACACCAAACATACCAGAATCTTCTGAAGACATAGAAGCTAAATCTGATCAGTCGCAAACCAGCTAGAGAACAAGTTTTTTAATTCAGCTCAAACCCACAGTACAGTCAAAAACAAGTTGCAACAATCTGATCAAGTTTCCAGTTCAGCTACACACAAAAAAAAAACTTGTTCTTACTCAAGGAAATCACAACTGGTCCCACACCATTACTGTTCTCAGATTTCGGCCCTACTGAACCCTTTTAGACTGATCACACACCATTTCAGATGTGTAAGGAGTATAAAAAAAATAGATCTGACCATTCTCTCTAGCAACAAAACATCTTTCACACAGTAACTTAGCTTCTATATGAGTAGAAGAAGAAAATAATCTGCTGTCACAGCAGTTACAGATTTGTAACCTTGAAGTAATAACACCTTTCTAGGCAAAAAAAGGGATCATTCGATCCACATACAATGAGAGAAAATACTCTCACACCAGCCGCAGGTCATTAGACCCACATAACCCATACATCTGGGTACAAAAAAGGATCACTTCGATCCACAAATTGAGGAAGAAAAAACTAAAAAAAAACTCACAGCATTCGATTTTTTTCTTTCTGATAGTTTATGGGCTCACGACCAAGAAACAGTCTTGCAATGAGCTTCCTCACACGTCCACCAGAGATCTTGTTCTTTGGTTCGACCACCAATAGACAGAAAAGGAAAGAAGCACCGCCCTGGTCCTAAGATTGGATCTACCGCTCTGATACCATGTTTTATTGGTGCTGAGATGGTGTGATTCTAGAACAGAAAGAAGAGAAGAAGGTGGAAGGGAGAAGAGAGAAAAGAGAGAAGAGAGACAGAATTGAAAGAGGCAAAAGTCAACTGGCGGCACCAGTTTATTCAGGTATATATACTAGGGCGACCATACATAAAAAATAAAGGAGAAAATTACAAGGGTGCCCTTGCGGCACTAAACTTAAAATAAAACCAAGTTATTTCAACAAAACTCAAACTTGGTTAGAAATTAGAATCAGCATGGCCAATTGATGCTTCCATATCAGCATATGGAACTGCTGAAAACCAGTTAAACTACTTTAGTTAACACTTAACCAGTGGAGGCAGCCGATTGGCTGGTGAATGTGCCTCGACTATGAATTGGCCTGTTTTTAAGAAAATGTCATTATCACATAGAAAACATGATTCATATTTAGTAGAGATCAGAGAACTGAACCGATAATGATGAATCATAATAACTTCACAGCTAAATACAACCTGTTTAACAGACAACCATCAACAAGAAATTCCCCACTTCTAACCGAATTTTTTTTCCAGAACATTGTAAACAAGATTCCACAGCCAAAGATGCACCAACCGGAGGCATGTTTGCTATGTTTTAAAGAACCTTTAAACCCAACATTCCCCTCAGTTTTGACTGCAAAGGCCGAGATGAAAGAATCGTTACAATTATATGACCAAAAAAAACGTTTCACATGAATTAGTAAATGGCATTGGGGGCATGAGTATTTATTACTAATCCCCTTCAAAGACAATAAATGCATAACGAACCTGGTCAGACGTTCTGATTACACTGAAGGCCTTTTTTAACCCAAATTAGCATTTTTGGTAGATGAAGGAACTGAAGCAGCATCTGCCATCAGGATGGCCTTGAAGACTGGAACTTTGGCAACTTTTTAGTCTTTTATTGTTGCATTTCTGCTAGGTTCCTCTTTTGCGTATAACCAAATTAAGATCTCCAACCTCTTTCAAGATGAATAGGGAGGTTGTAAAAGAAATCTTCTAAGTTGTTAATTCTCATAACATCGAGAAAGACTAACCGCAGGTATTAGTGATTCATAGTCTTTCACTGAAGTTCTGGGCTTGGGAAATGAACAAGCAATCCAGCACTGACCTGTTGATTTTCGACTGGATGCCTTGGAGGAAATTTTTTAAATAAATTCTTTTCAAGATCCTACAAATCTGATAAATCACCACTTAGACTTTGTAGCTCTTCCTGGATCCAAAACTCCTGACATTGAGAAATAGCAAATACATTTGTTCAGAAAAGATAAGGGTAATAAACTTAAACATACCCTGAGTTTTCATAAATTGAGTTATACATACCCTCAGTTTTCCAAGTACACTTAATTATAGGTTGTAGGTTGACCCCACTGGACTTTAAAGATACCCTCTATTACAAAAACCTTAATAACTGTTAACATGTAATGCCAGGTGACCTATTTAATTTTTTAAAAACCCTGCTTTGCCCTCTATGCTCTGTTAAAAAGGACAAATTGAACAGAGAGAGGAATGGTTGTTCTCTCTTCTTGCATGGTTCTTCCTTGCAAGCTTGTAAAACTTTCCATAACTATTTCCAAAACTCAGGGATGATCTAGCTACCGTGTGTTCCTTTGCTTCATTCTGATACTAGTCGGATGATCTAGCTACTGTCTGTTCCTTTGCTTCATTCTGATTCTAATCATCTGCCCCCTTTCTCCTTATTTTCATTTACATATTTCCTCTTATAATTTCATGTTTGTCTTATTGCTGTTGGTATCCCATTAAAATGTCAAATAGACAAAATGTTGGTGGAACTTTCAAGGTTGAGATACAGTTGAAGAACCTCATCGCCCAATATAGTCTGAATTGGACTTTCTTTGTTTCTTTCAATTTGAAATCACTAGGAACCTTCTGTCTTCACTCAAGCTCTGTAGGTCCCTCTAAAAGGAACCAAAAATATGCAAGTGGGGTTCCATTCAAACAATTTTAAGGTTTAGTTCTTTTATTATGAATCATTAGCTTTTTCCTGATTCCTAAAATCATGTTCGTTTTTTTCCTCTTTGATATACTATTTCTAAGATTTGATGGACATTCTGTGTATAGTTGGTAGCCAGGAGGGGGATCTGCTACCTTTGACTAGGAAAATTATAGGATGCCTTAGATCCAAAAGAAAAAAATTGGCAACTGGAGAACTGCATGCTGCATCCTCTTATCGATATGCTCTAATAATTACACTCATACATGCATGGTGATGCTTAAAATGTTCAGCAGGTTTTACTCATATCCTGTAATTCTGCCATGCAACTTGCTTTTTTTTTTATAATGCCATGTTCTGTGATGCCACCGAACCTGTAGACTCTATATCCTATATTTTTTGTTTGATCAATAACACTTTCATTAAATCATCAATAGGAAGACAAACACACTTATCTTCCAAGAGCAACAAAGAACCTCAAGAAAAGGAAGAAAAAAAAGGAAAAAACACTAAAGTTACAGCTTAGCCCAAAACAGTGAATCCCTTTCTGCCCCTTGTTTAGCTAAACCGTCAGCTAGGGAATTAGCCGATCTTTTAACCCAACATATCTTAACTTCCATCTCCCGCACCAGCCACTTGAATTTCCTCCTCTCATTGTTGTACTTCCATAAGCCATTGTTATCTTTAATCAGCCACCCTATCACCACATCTGAATCCCCTTCAATTATGAGTTTCCTAATGTTCAACTCCTTAGCTTTCCGGACTCCTTCCATAACTGCAAAGATCTCAGCTCTAAGGGAGTCACCCACTCCAATTGGGCCTGAGGACATGGCAGAAATGACCCCATTCTCATCCCTAAAAACACCCCCAATCCTTGATTGTCCCAGATTTCCCCTACTACACCCATCAAAGTTTAATTTCAAGAATCCACCAGGTGGAGGGGTTTAAGCCACACTCATTACTGACTTGGTCTGTGTGCAATTTGCAATTTCACCCCACTTCCTCAGCATGTCATCCACAGTGTAATCTGTGAATAGCTCCAAAGATTTCAGCCACTATACAGCCCTAATATGTATTATAGCCCTCAGATCTGCTGCTCCTCTCTCAGCTTCTGAGAATATCCTGGAGTTTCTTTCTTCCCAAAGTGTCTAACATACTGCAGCCCTTAGTCCTCTGCACATAGTCCTTCCCCTTTTTATCCGTCACCTGAAAAAAGAAGGGGAAAAAAGGCCCTGCAAGTCTGATGGAGGATTCCAACTACATCCAAATAGGGAGAAAGCCCAATCCCAAATTAACCTCGCAAAATGGCAAGACACCAGTAGGTGAAAACCAGTCTCCCCATCCGCTTTACAAAGAACACACCAATGAGGTGACAAGCAAGTATTAGGTCTCTTCTTTTGGAGTAGATCACCAGTGTTGATTCTTTCC